ATCATCCTGGATTCTGTAGAGGAGTTAATTGTGCACAATCAAAAAATGTAGTGCGTGCAAGCAACTTTGCATTCAACAAAATTGCATGTCTTGCGACAACACTTTGCTACATTTAAATTGGAAGAAGGGGACATAGCCAATTGAGTTTGGGTGGGAGTATATTTTTGCAGAGCCTCTGATGCATTGAGACATCATAAGCAGTATGGCGCTAGAAGAACAGCAATGACACTGTTTTCCAGGGGGTTCCATGACTGTTCTTAGCAGTTGGATGAGCAGAAACCCAATACAACCAGTGAAAGAACAAAAAAAAATACGACTTTAAAGTATAATACTGAGTTATTGCCTAAATCCCATGCTGGTCTATTCTTATCTGGTACCTTTCACTTCAGAACTTGTAATTGTAGAGATCAAGCTCAGAATGTTATGATTGTTGGTGTCGAGTTGGCAGATTGGAAGGCCAGTAAAAGTTCTCTGATGGCTTTACCAAAACTTCCTGCTCTAGGTCTGGAGGTTTTTAGGTCACAGCTCTTCAAGTAGACATCTTTGAAATTTTTCAAATATTGTGTGAATTACTGTCTCTGCCAGCCTTTCAAACAGTAAGTTCCAAGTCCCTACCACCCTTTGGACTTGTATCTTCACCTACCCTCTGTCTACTGGTTACTTTAAATCGAAGTCCCCCTGGGTTTTGACCCCTCTGTTAAGGTAAATAAGTCATCCCTATCTGGACTTCATTTCCATTTCAAATTTTCAGGCAACAGAAAGATTGTTATGTGTGGTTAGTTGTCTGTTGGTCTGCTTTTCTGTACTTTCATGACAGAAACAAATTAACTGAAATTAGCTCTCTCAGTCTATTACCGAATTTTAGGGATGAGTTCCCTAGAGAACATGCTCCCTTTTGATGAGCCTGATAACTGCAGAGCTGCAGGAAGGGATGCAGGAAGAGGATTATTGGCATTGTGTCCAACCTTGATCTTATTTCTGACTCCAGGGTAAAAAGTTGCGCACAAGTTGTTTTTACATATCCCGCTGAGGATATATTTTGAGCCTTGCTGAAAAATTTGCTCTGTAATCAGTATTCTGCTTGTGCTAAATGCAATTGTGGAAAACAAATGTGATGGAAGAAGTTTTTTTTTTCCCTCTGGATTTAAAACAATGTTTAGTTCTCCAAGGATTACAGATGACATGTATAGTTTGGCAGGAGCAGTTTCAGCTGTTTATGGCACTGTAGATGTGATTTCAGCATGTCCTCTCATTGTGCTGACCGCAGCCATTTGTCTTTTTTGAACAAATCAACACTCATTTTAAATAGGGAATCAGCAGAGACAGTACAAACACAATAGGGTAATGTTGGTTTTGGGGAAATGCTCAAAGATCGTGAATTGCACCTCTGCTTGATTAGAGAAGAAAACCCTCTGTAATGTAAAACAAGTTTCTGAATCTTTAGCATTCACTTTAAGCTACTGCCCAAGAGATTATTTTATAATTCATCTGTGGGATAATGGTGTCGCTGGCTAGGCTGATGTTCATTGTCCATCACTAGTTATTCTTAAGAAGAAGGTGAAAAGTTGGCTTCTTGAAATGTTGCGGTCAGTGTGCTGTCGATACACCCACAATGCTATTTCAACTCAATTAAGCAGTAAAGGAGGTTAGGGCTATTTTTCAATGCAAATCCTTTTGGAATCCAAATTAATACAAAGTTGACGTGAGAGTTGAAACTGGTTTTTCTCCCACATATGATTGACAGCTAGGCACTTGGATTCAAAGAACAATTGCCACAGACATCGGAGGTGTCTCTGTTTCTTTTGGATGAATAAAAACATAACTCTCAACCTTGAGTGCTTTCAATGTTAACAGTTTGTAACCTGATACCTCATCCACTGTGCTTCAATTCTTGATTCCCATTGCTCCTGTATTTCAGGAAAGTTCTAATCATTAGCTCATATCGGACCCCATTTTAGCTCACAGATGTTTTCCAGATCCGATGTGCGATGCCCTGGGATGTTGGTCAGTCAGTTAATGTGCCAGTACAAGTTCTGTATAATCGTTTTTTTCTGTTGTGCATTTTCCTTCATGAGATAGCTTTGAAGACCACAGTGAAAGCTAAACTTACTAATGCTTACTTGTATTAATACTGCTAGTAGAGTTAAACTATTACTCAATTATTGTGAATTTTTGAGAATTATCCCTTTATTGTATAGCATGTCTCTACCAGAAACTAGTGTGCCATGTCATAAAGAAATTAGGTACATGTTTTAATCACAAAATACATTTGTTCAATTTAACAATGAAAGCTGCCTGAGGATAATTTGATGTTTGTGACTGTTGTAACAGTGTAAACAAACAGCACAAATTCAAACATCATTTTCATGTAGAGAATTCTACCAAACGTGTTGTTGCAGTTTTGCAAGCTGATCAAAGCTGCTTTTCGAAGATTTCTAAATTTGTGACTTCTAAATGGAAGTCTTGCCTTGAAACGATACTGTTTCATAAAATTTCTGAGATTTCATATTGAAAAATATAAACAAGGTAAAGTTGTATTGACATGAGCAGCTGATGCAGTATTATAATATATTCCATGATATTCACAGTCAAAAACAGCTCCCACATTCAAGAACAATACTAGACTTTCAATGAATAGGTAAAGATTTGGCTAAAGGAATGCTTAAGAGAACCAACCCTGGTACATGTCCAGAGTTCTAAGGCAATTAACTCACATCTACATCAGCAAATAGTTAAACATAAACTAGAACAGTAAGATTAATTCTGTATTCCTCATAGGAAGGTTCCGCTCAAAGGAAGCATGGTTCACAAATAAAGATGTAGCACTCTGGCCTGATTCTTTAACTAACACACCCTGTTGCAATCACCTGTTCACAGAACTAGCCCAAAGATTTTTGACAAAGTAAAATTTTGAGGTGACCACTGGAATCGGACAATTTCCTAGAGGCAAAAGTAGATTTGTGATTACTGCACTTAGTATATTAGCTGTGCTGTACACCTCTATGTTACATGGAATAATTGGACAGCTGAGTTAGGAAGACCTCTACCAGAAATAAAAACAACAGAGACAACTTGCATTCATATAACATCTTTACTGTAACGAGAAGTCTTAAGACACTTCACATATAAAGCAGAATTTCAGACAATGCTGAACAAAGTGATGCTAACAAGGTCATCTATTCAGGTCCTGAAGCCCACTAATTCCATCAGCACACACTTTTGCTGAGCCAAGACATTTGCAGTGACTTCGCTACAACCCTTTCATGAATGATAGCAATATAATGAAGATTTTCTGTGTGGTGACTGGTCATTGGGTCATGACGCCCAGATATCCATATCTCTGTGATAAGAAAACTAAGCGAAATATGAAGATAGTGGACATTGACACCAATAACTGGGAGACTGTTACTGATGGCTGTGACCTCTGAAGGCCTACTGTGTGGAAGAACCTTGAATATGATGAGCAGAAATGAAATACTCAACCGGTTGAGGACACCCTGTGGAAACCATATGCCAGTGAATTGTGCACCTTCTCAGCCTGATCTCTTCCTTTGCAGCAAATGCCAAATGGCAATGCTCCAGTGGGGCTTCTGAGGCACACCGAGCAATGCTTAACACAGAGTTGACCATAATGATGCAAACCATCATCTCATGAGACAGATGTTCCTGCCATCACAAGTGAAGGTGGACATAAACTTGGTCAAGAAAAGCAGCCATAGAGGAACATCTTAAAGGAGGAAAAGGCAGTAGAAAAATGGAGAGGTTTAAGGAGGAAATTCCAGAGTATGGAGCCTGAGCAGCTGAAGGTATGACCATCAACAGCGAAGAAATTAAAATTGGGGATGCTCAAAGGCCAAAATTTGTTGAGCATAGATTTCATGTAGGGCTTTGGAGTTGGAGAAGGTGACTGAGGTAGGGAGGGATGAGGCCATGGAAGGATTTAGAAACAAGGACGAGAATCTTCAAATTGAGGTGTTGCTTGATCAGAATCCAGTGTAGGACAGCACCACAGTGGCTTTGGTGTATGGGAATTGTATGACTTAGGGTACAGATAGCAAAGTTTTAGATCAGTTTAAGTTTATGGAGGATAGAATGTGGAAGGTCAGTCTTTGAATAGTCAAGTCTCAAGGTAACACACACGAATGAAGATTACAGCAGCAAATGAGCTGAAGTTGGGGTGGAGTTGTGCAATATTGTAGAGATGGAAATGGACGGTTTTAGTGATTGCATGTCAGAAACTCATCTCTGACACCAAAGACCTAAAATTGTAATCAGCCCGATTCACTGTCGGTTGCTAAGAAGAGAATGGTATCAGTAGCTAGGAATATTACACAGTACATGCAATTCTATTAAAATTTTAATGATATTGCAATATGCTTCCACATGCTATCGTCTTTAACGAAGCAAACCCCATTGTGAATAAAAGGACTGATAGCACAGGCCCAGTGAGAAGAGCTCATGAACTTTTTAACATTAAAGTATTTTGTATAAAATTCTGTTAGTGCCTGATTACACTTGACTAATTCTTTTCCATATCTCTGCAGGTAAGTATACTACATGAAATGGGCTTGAGTCTTACCCTGAGGAAAGTTGTAGGCTTAAAGTTTTCAAGAAGAATTGTAGCTCAGGTTGTGGATGAGATTGTAGACATACTCGCTGAGCTGATCATAGGTTTGCTTCCCTTGTCTTTGTTGGAACTAGCTGATGTCAATTAAGGCAGCAGTCAGAGTGTTACAATTGTCTCTGACCCAGTGAAGCAAATGTTAGGGCTCACCCTGCACCAACCGTTAACCACTATGGATACATCCTTGAGGGTATGCATTTGTTAGCAAACTCCAACATAAAGAATAAACTTTTGTGAAGGAATTGCAGTAGTTCCTACTCCCAATGATGGAACGATACTTCTCCAAAAAAATACCTATTTAGGAGAGTAATGAAAGTAGGGAGGAAATTTTGAGGGGTGAAAACCTGACTAAAATCAACCTGTTATTTTCTTGCAGCTGTTGACCAGTGTACTGAAGGTTTATGTCATCCACATGCAACCTGTTATGACACCCCTGGCTCATATGTCTGTCGGTGTAACCCTGGTTATGAAGGAGATGGTACCCAGTGTAGACCAATAGAGCCAGGTAGGAATCCAAAATCAAATTTTATTTCAAAGCAATTTTGTGTCTTATCTTTAGGATTTGATTTGAAGGACTGGGAAAAGCAGGAGAATTATCTTCTGGAGATTGCACTTCTATCCAACAGCAGTAATATTATCCTGGCTCTGACAACTATATGAGAGCCCAGGGTCAATTTGAAGTGCAGTCTTGTTTTAAAAAGAGATGATTTTAAAAAGAGAGGTACTTAGAAACAATATCTTAACAAGACTCGGCTGTTAAAATTGGTCATGTCTCCCTGCCATCACTCCTATCTGGATATACTATTCACTTTGCCATGCTTTTGCCCAGGAGTTAAAATCCAGCCCTATTTCTTTGTTTTCCCCTATAAAATGTCTCAGCTATGTTAACAGTTCAGTTATTTTAACAACTTGGTGCTTTCAGTAAACCAATCATTCAAATATTAACAAAAACGGAAGTTGCTGAAAAAGCTCGGCAGGTCTGGCAGCATCTGTGGAGAAAAAAAATCAGAGTTAATGTTTCGGGTCTGGCGACCCGCCATCTGAGCTCTGAGGAAGGGTCACCAGACCGGAAACGTTAATTCTGACTTTTTTCTCCACAGATGCTACCAGACTTGCTGAGCTTTTTCAGCAACTTCTATTTTTGTTCCTGATTTACAGCATCCGCAGTTCTCTCGGATTTTATTCAAATTTTAACTCCTGCCTCACATCTCATTAATCTATTGAGATGATTATACCTTGTAACTTCCTGCTTGTAGGATGTATTACAGTCATATAACAGAACATATTATTATTTGCATAACAGCACCTCTCGTGGACAATCAATATCAGATTTTTTTTACATCAACCTGTTCAGAGATGTTATGACACACCTCTGGAGTAAGTAGGACTTGAACCCAGGCCTGCACTGGCTCAAAGGTAGGGATACTACCACTACACCACCAAACCCTAACCAAATCAATATCAGTATAGAGCTGCCACCTGTCATCTCTTGGCAGGATATAAATTCACATTGAATTAGATGCAGGTTGTATTGCCTGAAGGCAACCAGTGCAAACCTACCTTTAATACATTAACATGTAATGCATACTCATTAAAACACTTTGATTGCCAAATTGAATTGTACCTTTGTGATTAGCCACCAGTAAACAGGTCTTTTCAGATTCACAACTGTTTGAAGGTGGCATACAACAGGCAAAGTAGTCTTTCTGGTGGATTTGGAGAGAATAGGAGCTGCATTTGTGAATTAGGAAACCTTTTGGACTAGAGAGAAGAACCTGAGCTATTGTATTGAGTGCAGAAGTTGACTGTCATAGAATCATTGAATCATACAGTACAAGCCCTGACAAAAATACTACTCTAAATGTATACTAGTCTCACTTTCCCTCTTGGCCCATAGCGGACATTTCAAGTGATCATCCAAGTGCTTTTAAAATGTTGCGCAGTTTCCCATTTCATCTCTCCTCCCAGGCAGTGCATTCCAGATTCCCACCCTCAGTGATTTTTTTTTTACTCAAATCCCCTTTAAACCTCCTGCCTTCACCTTAAAAGTGTGCCCTCATTGTTATTGCCACTTCAATTAAAGGGAAGAGCTGCTTTCTATCCACCATTGTCCATACACCTCAATCAGGTCCCCTCTTCTCTGCTGGGAGGAAAACTGGCACTTATCCAGCCTCTCTCCATAGCTGAACTGTGGCCATCCCAGGCAATACTATGTTCAATCTCCACTGCACCCCTTCCAGTGCAGTCACATCCTTCCTATAATGAAGTGACCAGAACTGCACATAGTTCTCCAGCTGTGGCTGAACCAAAAGTCTTGTACAGCTCCGACATAACCTTCCGCTCTTATTATCTATGCCTTAACCACCCTATAATTTGTCCTGCTGCCCTCAAGGATCTGTGGACAAGCATCCCAACATTCCTCTGTTCCTCTGAACTTCCTAGTGTCCTGCCATTCATTGAGTACACCTCGTCTTGTTACTCCTTCCAAAGGGCATCACCCTGCAATGTCTTGGGAGATTGGAGACATAACTGTCCTTGGATGAGAGATCAGGTCAAGGTGGGGCCTAAGGAGCGTCATGGGGCTCAGAGAGAGAGAGAGAGAGTGAGTGAGAGAGAGAGGTGGCTGATGGAGGGAAGGTTAGTCGCTGTTCAAGGCAGGTCAAGCATGATAGACGGGAATTGAAGGATGATTACAGACAGGGCAATAGTGAGGCTGAGAGAGTTGAGAGTTACCACGTGCAAGTCATAGGTGATAAAGAGAGGGTCAAGAATGATGGATTGTATTTCAGCAAGGGCAGAGTGACAGATCTGGATTAACGGACATCTGATTGACAGGATAATGGCAGGTTGCTCAAGGGTCTCAGAAGGCATAGCTAAGTGATGAAGAGAAAGTCAAAGCTGATGACTTGCTGGTCCAAGGTTTGAAGAGAGGCAGGCAAGGAGAAGGTATCAGTAGTTAAGTTCAAAGTGCTCTTCTTGGACAGGCAAAATTATTCTAATAGCAAGCAGGGAATTGATACATGTCTAAGCACTGTTTCAATATTGTTCCTGGACCTTTGACCATGGTGAAGTAATGGCAGGATTGGTGACTTCTTACCCATCTCAATGTACAAATAACAGGCCCCTTGGCTGTACATAATTAATTGGCAGGCCATCACATGATTTAACATGACCAGCCTTTCCACTCCCTAATGGAGGTTCTACCCATTTCCAATGCCGTTGTCAGGACACCCAGTACTGCAACAGGCTGTGAATCCTGGACAATTCCTTTCTCTAACTGGAAGATGTTGCAGTGCCTTAATTCTGAGACAGGCTAACTGAGCTCAGACTGGGACTGTGGGGCTGGGTGTGGGGCGCAGGTGGGAGTTTTGTTGGGGTGCTGGGGTTGCATTGCCGTTTTGCATCTTGTTGCAGTCTGCAGCACTGTAATTCATGCAACACAGCTGACAGCAATGTTTTCTGAAAAAGGATCCAGACCCGGAACATCAGCTTTCCTGCTCCTCTGATGCTGCCTGGCCTGCTGTGTTGATCCAGATCTACACCTTGTTATCTCAGACTCCAGCATCGGCAGTTCCTACTATCTCTGACAACAATGTTTTCCTTGTTCAGAACCTCCAGTACGTTCAAAGACTGCATGTGAGGAGCTGCGAGATGAAGTGGAAGCTGAGTTCAGCCCCCGTGGGCCTAGGCCCCACTTTGGAATGCATGTTCCTCAATGTGATGAGCAGGGCAACTTCAGATCTCTACAGTGCCACAGCAGTACAGGCCAGTGCTGGTGTGTAGATGCATGGGGCAGGGAATTTTCTGGAACCAGAACACAGCCTGGAAATAATCTACCAGAATGTGGACACTCAGGTCAGTAGGTCTTGTTTAAGTCAATTGTAGTTGTTATCTCATTAAATTGCTGATTTACTGAAATTCCAAAGGAAGCAAAATCACTGATCAGTTGTGCTTTAGAAACATTCTGTTTATCTCCTGTTTATCTCTTGTTACTTGTTTACTTACTTTACTTCTTAATGGGGTATGGTTGATCATAGGTTTGGGTTTGCTACATCTTAACTCATAGCATGCAGAAAGTGATATCTCACTCTGTGCTTCAACATGAAAATATATTGAATTCAATAAGTTGCTGTACTTGTATGGTATATAAGAATTAAACATGCCACAACGTGCTTAGAGTTATCATTTTGTATACCATTACATTTGATAGTTACTGCCAATAATTTTCTGTAGTATTGAAAATTAACTATTGCAAGCATTGAATCTCATTCCTTGAAGTACTAAATATTTGAGGATTATAAATGAAAACTTTTCATTTCCTTTTTTACTCTCCTTTAGTCAATCACTCTATCTCCCTCTTTATTCCACTTTCTGTATCAGATTTGACTTTGAATATACCCACACATCATTCTCAGCCATTCAGCTGTTAATTTCATAATATTTTAATCTGATTTGTCTCCTGCGCTACAGTCGTTTGTTTTGAGCACTCAAGTCTCTGGTTCCCTCACTGCAATGTTCATCTTTCACAATCAACAATTTGGCACGCAAAACGTAAAAGTTTTAAAAACCTCAATGTGTAAGGGAAAAACTAATGTATGCCCTATATATTGCTTAGATGCGGTGCAGAATGAAGGGCAATGTGTTAGATATGATTTCTTTCCCAGCGATTTTTAATTTTGCCTCTAACTAAATTCCACAGAAAATGCCTTCCACAACCAGATTTTATCCAGTTATACTTAAGAATTTTTCAAATTGATATGTCTGCTCTGACCATTCCAAACATAAACCCTCATAAATTAACATCTATCAAATGGGACACACAAAAGTTCAGACTTCCGTCAGTGTGGAGCATTATAGAGCAAGTTAATTGTGCTAAATTCGGTTGGGTAAAAGTATATTGTTTGATGTGATCACCCTATCACTGCAGTGCTTGCTGATCTACCCAGTCAAGTATAATTTTGATTTTAAATTTCTCACCTTTATTTTCAAATGCGTCCATGGCCGTGCCCCTCCTCATCTCTGTACACACCACAGTCCTCTGAGATAGCTGCGATCCTCCAGTTTTGGCTTCCTGTGCATTCCCAATTATAAGTACATCAGTTTTTTTTTATAAATGGACAGATGACATTGCATGACCCAATTTACATAGAGTGCATCCTTGTTTTGTAACCAGTTTCTGTGTATTTGATTTAGAACCCATTCAGCGCCCAAAAACTGCTTGTGAACAATATCGAGAGAGACTGAAAACAGAGCTAAGTTTGCGTGGATCTCCAGCTCTTACTGGAATCCATATCCCTGAGTGTGATGATGAAGGAAACTTTAGACCTCTGCAATGCCATGGAAGTACTGGCCACTGTTGGTGTGTTTATGAAAATGGACAAGAAATTCCAGGGACTAGGACGCCACCTGGAAGTGATCAGCCACAGTGTGGACAGCCAGGTCAGTCTGTGTTTGTAATTAAGTAAAATGGCCAATGTTATACAAAAATGAGGAGTTCAAAGTGTTTGCATTTGCTTTAAAGTGAATTTGACTTGGACTTTTAGAAAAAAATTCGGATATAATTCATAGAATCTGATCACATGGAAATGGTCAATTTACAATTTGTTAGTATCAGTGGTTATGCAGTTCTTGTCATGATTAAGGCATGGATGAGACGAAAGCTCTGATCGTGTTATATTTGCAACCAGTAAACCTGAAAATCGATCTTCATATTTTCAGTTCCTTTGTCCTGCTGTCTTGGCAGTATTATTTTTTATTGTTAACCATTTAGAATTAACATTTACATCAATCATTGCTACAGATCTCTTTAACCTCACACCCTACGTTATATTCCGTCTGCCATACTTTGTCCATTTACTCAGTTTGTCTAAATTCCCTTGAAGCCTCCTTCTACCTTCCTCAAAATTCACATTCCCACCAAGTATATATCATGTACAAACTTGGAATCATTACAATTGGCCCCCAAACCCAAATTATCGATGTGCATTGTGAACGTATATGGCCCAAACAGTGATCTTTGTGTGTGCCAACCTGAGAAGTACTCATCGATTCCTACTCTGCTTTCTGCTTATTAGCCAATCCTCAATCTATATGACCCACAATCCATGCATATTTACTTTGTTTACTAACCTCCTGTGTGGGCCTTTATCAAAAGCCTTCTGAAAATTCAAATGCTCTGAATTTAGTCATTCCCCCTTATTGACTCTGCTAGTAATATCCTCAAAAACTCTTATGAGGCTTGTCAAACATGATTTCTTCCTCATGAATCTATATTGACTCTTTCCAGCCAGATAATTATTTTCTAACTATTCATCCTTTATGCCAGATCCTGTTATTTTCTATACTACTGAATTAGACCACCAGTTCCCTGTTCTCTCCCTCCGTCCTTTCTTAAAACATGGGTCGCATCTAATCTTCAGACACCATTTCAGATTTAATAGAATTTTGAATACTGCATTCAATACGACCATTTTACTAATACTAATTTGTTTTCAGTTCTACATTCTCACTAGATCTTTGGATTTTAATTATTTCAGTGAAACCCCTTGGGTCTTCCTCTCTGAAGACAGACAAAATACATATTTCACTTCTCTGCCATTTCTCTATTTCTTGTCCATAAATTCTCCTGTTTCAGCCTGTAATGGGTCCACATTTGTCTCTGCTACTTTATTTTTCATGTTTACATATCTATAGAATTTTTCCAGTCCCTTTTATGTTACTTGCTGTTTTATATTCCTAACATATTGACAGATATTAATCAGCCAGAGCTTGGTGGACAAGACACAATTTTAAAACTTGCAGATGATGTGAAACTTGGAAGTATTGTAAACCATGAGGAGAATAGTAAGTGTTTCGAAAGGAATATTTACTATTTTTACCAGTTATTTATTAACACTGAAAATAAAAAAAATTATAAAAATGCAAAATCAAATGCACAGAATCACATGTAAGTTTGAAAGGGAGGGAAGAATAAGGGCTATACATTTTAAAAGTCCTCAGTGACTGTGATGCATGGGTTTTTAATTTCAGACCTGAATTGGTTTGTTATTTACTTAAATGCTCAGCAACGACAAAAGTTCGAAATCTCTGTGGATTCTCAATGCATGAATATCTCCCTGATTTGCTTTTTAACTGAACAATGCCTTCCTAGATAGTAAGAAGGAATCAAGGAGAGAGTATGTTTCGGTCCTTGCTGTTACCAATCCATGTTCTTTCTCTCTTCTGCTGCTTGAAAAGCTGCTGCAGAAATTGGGTTCATTTGTGAATGCCCAAGTCTGACTCCATGTCTGTCCAAGCAGGATAACCTGCAGGTGACCTTTCATATTCAGTATGTCCTACTTATCAGGTACATGCAACTTGAAACAGGAGATGCCAATTTCTTAAACATCTGACTCAGTTAACAGTGATTTCATTGTCTTTATAATAAAAGTTATTTTAATTCAGATGTTTAGTTATTCAACATTGATTTCCTGAACTTGCCACAGCTATGTTCAGGTGATTGTTGCAGACATTTTAGGTCACTGTTTTTCCAGTAAAAACTATGTTAATTCATGAAAGGTGCCAGGTACAACAATCAGATAATGGAAGTTAAAATTTGATATTTCATCTTCATCACAATCATAACAAAGCTACTTGGCAAAAGAAGCAATGATGTAATGAAAAGCTTTTTCACACAGCGAGGAGTGAGGATCTGGAATACATTGCATGAGGGTATAAGGATTCATTATCTAAAAAGGACAACATTTCAGAGTTACAAAGAAAACTCAGGAAAATGTTGCAGTATCATAGAAGTGTTATGGTGCAGAAAGAGGCCATTCAGCCCATCATGTCTGCACCGTCTCTCCTGCTGTACTCCTGACTTTCCCATATACCTTTGCACATTGATTACGTTTAAATAATCATCCAATGCACTCTTGAATGTTTCAATTGAACCTGCTTTCACCAGACTTTCAGGCAATACCTTCCAAACTTGAACCATTCATGGTATGAAAAGTTTTGGTGCAGCTTGCAGGTACTTTTTCAAATCACTTTAAATTTGTTCCATCTTGTTCTTTAATCATTTTACAAATGTTTCACCCTCGACACTCTATAAAGCCTCCTTGTGATTTTTTTTTCTATCAGGTGTCCTTTTAGCCTTTTTCTCTCAAGGCGAACAATCCCAACTTCTCCAATCTCTCCTTACGATTGAAGTTTATCATCCCTGCAACCATTCTTGTAAATCTCTTCTGCACTCTTTCCAGTGCATTCAGATTGTCCTGCAGTGAAGTACCCAAAACTGTAGCCAGTATTCTTGCTAATGTCTAACGTATCTTATACAAGTTCAGCATCATCTCCTTGCTCTTGTACCCTATGCCACTATTAATAAAGCTGAGGATACTCTATGCTTCATTAATTATTCTCTTTAACTGTTCAGCAATATTCAAAGATATACATGAAGGCTCCTTTGCTCCTGTTCCTCCTTTAGAATTATAGCCCTGATGTTATGATGTCTGTCCAGATCCTTCCTACCAAAGTACATACTTCTCACTTCTCAGCATTAGACCTTATCTGCTGTCTATCTCTTCACTGCAACAACTTGCCTGTGCCCTTTTGGAGTTCTACATTGACCTCCTCAGTTTGGTGCAACATGCTTGCTGTTGACCTCCTGGACAACCTTCAACCGCATTATGTTTGTGTTACCATCAGGCTGCTTCCTCTCATTATTGGGGAACAGCATCTCCCTCAGCATGAGGGACGTATTGCTGAAGTGGGGTGCAGTCTTTACCCCTCTCGAAGTTTCCTTATGGCAACTCCAAATTTAACTTGTGTGTGATGAGTGTCCCATTAAAGAATGGAGTTGATATTGTATCAGGTGGGTTGTCATCATGCAGCATATTGGATGAGAAACTTGAAAAAGGAAATGAGTTAGCTAGCAGGTATCCATCACTCTATCTCTGACATCAAGACACTGGCAGATAAATTGCATTTGTTTCTGTTCCTCACACACTTCCAGGTATCCTCACCCTGTCCTAGAACTCAAAGTGCCCTTGTAAATTAAAATTCAGTCCAAAATCGTTCACTCCAAAGTTGATTTTCTCCCCCAGCACATTCCAGCAAACTAAATCCCACAGACTGTCTTGTCTAATCATACCCTTTTCCAATTACGCTGTTCTTTGAGATGTTGCTGCCCTCCCCAGTAACCTCTCATGATAATTGCTAGTAAATAAAACCTACACAGACTTAGGATTATCTCTGGAACTCAAAGTTCTGATTGACAACAGGCATATCCCTGCTGTTGAAAGAATTAAAAGCAAATTCAGCTGATGCATCTAGAATGTATGAGAGGCATTGTGTTTCAAGTATATGGGTAAAGGTGTATTTTCTTTCCCATAATGAGCTTGGTGAAATAGTCACTGTACAGGAGTCTATGTTAGATAACTCTGCGTGTCTGCTTTGTACGTTTGTTTTTGTCTCTTTGAAAATTAGTTTCTTTTTATTTAATTAGTAACAAATGAACATCGAAAGACTGCTTGCGAGCAGCATCGAGACAGATTGCAAGCAGAGCTCAGTCTGCGTGGATCACAGCCTCACGTTGGAGCCTATATCCCTCAGTGTGATGAGGAGGGGAACTTCAGGCCTCTGCAATGCCACGGCAGTACAGGCCACTGCTGGTGCGTGGATGAAAGGGGACAGGAAATTCCTGGGACGAGGACACCACCTGGAGCGGGTCAACCACAGTGTGGACAGCCAGGTCAGTCTGTGTTTGTAATTAAGCAAAATGACCCAGGTTGTAGCAAAATAGAGGAGTTCAAAGAGACTTTAATTTGTTTAAGTGAGTCTATCCTAAAATTTTGCTAAACAGTAATAAGTAATTTATAGAAACTACTTATTATGGAACAGCTGTTTTTGGGTCAGTTAGTGACTGTGACACATGTCAGGGATGAAACACTGACGAACATTTATTTGCACCCTAAAGGTCTGATTATCCTTTGTGATTATTGTCCCCACCTCTTCTATCATTCACATCTGTTGTTGCCCAGCTCTCCGTATGCCTCGTATCCTTCTTTTTACTGAACCATCGTTTCCATCTTTTGCTTTCTTTATGCCCCCAAATTAATTTGCTATTTATTCAGAATTTACAACTGAATAAAAATGACAGTTCATGTTCACTCTAAGGATTCAGAAATAGATGTAATGAGCAATGAGTAAAACACTTTTTTTAAAATCTCTAAACTATTAAAATTGCAAAAAAAAAGTGAAATCAATAGGTTTCCTTCTCTCTGTAACCTTTCAATGCATTAACCTTTTTTGTTTCTTTTGTTTAATTATTCTAGTGTCATTTTTTGTTGTAATTGTATGCTTCCTTTAGGTTTTTGCCAGTCCACAACCATGAGACATAAACCATTTGCCCCAAGGTCTATTTGATTTCCATGACATTTCAGTAAGTTAACCCACACATCACTGTCAATGGCATCCTTCCATTTATGGGAAATGATGGACAAGTAGCAAACAATCCTTTCAGATGGATGTCTTTACATAGCGTACTTTGCTGAAGGCTAAAAGAACCTACCTTTGGGAGACAGGTTCTGCCACAAGTGCTACCCATGAAGTCTCCAAGAGTCTTTCTGGCATCGCTAAGAATCTGTAGCCACTGGTCATCACCATTAATACACACAAAGTAGATGCAGGAGGAGGCCATTTGGCCCTCAAAGCCTGCTGTGCCATCTAGAATGATCACGGTGTACAACAAAGCACATAAGCCTGCAAAAGATTGTTGCTATTTTCCTCTGTTGTGACTCCTTAGTGTAAGATCATGTTTATGTTCTTCAAGTCACACATGTAAGTATCCTTGGAGGTGAACTTTGGATGTACCATTGGTTTTCTTGCCCTAGCTACCTCACCATACAGGATGTCCATTGGTATGCAACCCACCTTCCGTTGCATCAACAAAGCCACTTCTCTTCGAGTGCTAACAAAAGAGGGGGCTCTGCCTTTGAGAGCACTGTTTCTTTCCTGGTTCTCTCTAATAAGGATACACTCTTAATGTATCACAGAAGGAAACTGTTGAGCTTTTTTTCTTGAAAGCTGGAAATTAACGTGTTTCACATCGATAAAACAAGGTATTAATAACAGACCTTATAAACCGTCAGCTTCATCATAAGGGTCAGTTTGATGTTTTGCCATGTGTGTTTTGAGAGTTGGTCAAAAATGGCAGCAACTTTTGTTATGCCACTACATGTAATTCTGCAATAAGAAACAGATTATCTGTCATCAAAATGGCAAAATTTACTTACCACTTCCAGTAGGATGTCATTTAGGGTGATCAAGGGTGGAAATGCAACACCTTGACCCAAGACCACAGATTATTTGATGTTTATAATCAGGAGAACAAGTTACAGCATAGGAGAGACAATCCATAAGTCTCTGTGGCTGAGTTGCTATGTAGCAACTAGCATAGCATCATAAGCATAAGAGAACTCCATGATTTTGTCTTCACTTTCAGTCTTGATAGAATCTAGAATTTGATAACATAGTGTATAATATAGTGTATAACATAGTATGCAGGTATGCTCCTTCCATATCTACAGAGAAAGTAAAAGATCAGGAGCTCAGAGAAGATGTCAAACAGTGGGAGCTAGGACACAAACCTGTTTCTTCACTCCAAATCTGTTGAAAGTGGAGACATCAAACTATACACTGCAGTGCCCTTTGCCATGGAAGGAGTCCAACAGTGCTGACAATGCAGATGCCTTGGTGCGATCTATGAAAGTAAAGAGTTCCTTTTATTGTTATGTAATGATTTCTGAGTCAGACGTCTGTGGAATGGAGACTACTTTCCAGCCAAAAAGGAAGGACCAAAGGCAATGGATGGGATCTTCCCTGCTTGAATGGTTTAGCTGGGATACCATTCTTACCAGATGCCTTTTGTGTTTGTTGAGTGGCCAATGACCTTCTCAAGCTCCAGTAATGTATGTTCTTCATCTAACTCATCCATGAAAGAGAGTTGCAGGACAGCATCACACATGCGCTGGGAAATGTCTATCTCATGGTAATGTTCAACCCAGTAGGATGTCTGTTCGCTTCTGTCTGTGAGTAGTCCAGAATATGGTGATTTAGGGGGCACCTTAACTGATGATAAAACCAATCACCCTCTCAATCTCTTTTATGCACTGCATTTCATTTCCATTATCACAAGCAGTTTGGGTTTCTAAATTTAAGTTGATTAAATCCTATACAGCCTCATTCTACCAAAAAAAATTATTTCCAGTTATGCACCAGGAATAAGAAAATGTTAGAAATTCCTGTTGCAAATATATAAAATGTTCCAAATAATATAAGTTTCTACGACTGTATTTGGACTGAAATATTTGATATTAAATTTGGTTGGTAGATGTTGAATGACAGTATTCAAGATACTACAATTGTGTGTGGAATAAACTGACAGGAAGTGGTAGATGCAGGTACAGTTACAATGTTTAAAAGACATTTGGATATTTCATGAATAGGAAAGATTTAGAGGGGTATGAGCCAAACTCAGGCTAGTGGGATTAGTTTAGTTTGGGAAACTTAGTCGGTTTGGAACGAAGGGTCTGTTTCCATGCTGTATGGCTCAATGATACATTAGGAATATCACATCAATTAGATTGCGCATTAATATGTATTTGCTGTAACCAGACTGTTCACAACACAAAGTGAAATGGAAACGATGTTATAAGACTGAAAAGAGATTTCTACTTTTAATTTGTTATTATTCCAAAACCAGTTTCTTTTTTTTTGATTAGCAACCAATGAACGTTCAAAGACTGCCTGTGAACAGCATCGAGAGAGACTGCAAATAGAGGTGCGCAGATCACAACCTATTATTGGAATCCATATCCCTGAGTGTGATGAGGAGGGGAACTTCAAGCCTCTGCAATGCGACAGCAATACAGGGTACTGCTGGTGCATGTATGACAACGGACAGGAAATTCCAGGGACGAGAACACCCCCTGGAACCAGTCAGCCACAGTGTGGGCAGCCAGGTCAGTCACTGTTTACATATGGAGAATGACCAGTGTAACAGAAAAGAAAAGGGTCAGATAGAATGTTATTGAAAGTGTGTCTGAATGGGAACTTGTTTGGGTACCTGTGTGTAATTCATAGAAATTTATCATCCCTACCTCTGAGCCAGGAGGCCCACGCTCAAGTCCCACCTGGTACAGAGGTGTGTAGTAACATCTCTGAACAGTTTGGTTAGAAAATATCTACCATTAAATCAGATGATCGTGGCACCTGTGACAGTGAAGTTCCTGTTGCTGCTGCTGGGAAGTGCGCATCGATCAAGTACCAAGGTATCAAAGTGGTAGAAATTACCTCCAAAGTATGTAATCACATCCAAAATAGTGAAGGTGCACTTTTAGAACAGGTCCTGTGAGCAAATATGTAATTCTGTCAAATCTATTCTCTTTTTTCATTGGTTAGCAACCAATGAACGGCCAAAGACTGCTTGTGAACAGCATCGAGAGAGACTTCAAACAGAGCTGCGGCTGCGTGGAAGTCAAACTCTTGTTGGAATCCATATCCCTGAGTGTGATGAGGAGGGGAACTTCAGACGTCTGCAATGTCAGGGCAGTACGGGATACTGCTGGTGTGTATATGAGAACGGACAGGAAATTCCAGGGACTCGGATACCCCCTGGAACTGACCAACCCAGCTGTGAAGTACCAGGTTAGTCAATGTCTTAACAAATGAAATGACCAGTAATGTAGGAAAAATGAACATTCAAAGGAACCTTAATTTATTTTAAAGTGATTTTTAGCTTGGAACTTAGTGAAACCAACTGAAAAAGAGTCAAATCTGACTGGAAATGTTAACTCTGTTTTGTGCTGCACAGCTGAGTTTCCCTGACACTTTGTTTTTATTTCAGTGTTCTGCTTTGATATCAGTTATATTGGTAGCTTTTTATTTAGATATTCCAGTCTGTGTTTATCTTTCTATTGAATATTTTCTACTATTCCTGTATTTTTGTCATTCAATAATACTGTAACAGGAGGGGTTGATTTTAACTTCCTAACCCACTAACAATGGGAAAGATGGAAGCATGAGGAAGAACATGGAGTTCAACCAGGCACTTGTAGCTTAGTTTTTTCACTCAGTCTTGTATTTACATCTCAGTTCCCATTTCCCAACCAATTAGAGCAAGTGGCCTGATGCAAACCAGATGACGTTACTTCAGCTCAACAACCAGGATGAAGACTTGTCAAGAGAGGCCATTCACCTCTCAGAAGGCACGATCACATGACTTAAGTACCCCCTCCAGCAGCTCAGATTTACTTGTGGAAAGAGTGGCCACCTACACTGACCATCAGATGTGGCCCTTGCCAGTGGCACGTCCACTCAGCCTAAAACAGGATTGTTCTGAGAAAGGGTCGCTGGATCCAAAACGTTAACTCTGATTTCTCTCCACAGATGCTACCAGACCTGCTGAGCTTTTCCAGCAACTTCTGTTTTCATTTTTGATTTCCAGCATCCGCAGTTCTTTCAGTTTTTATTTTGTGGAAAACCTGACCTTGGTCATACGCCATCTCACTCAAGTGCTGTCCAGCTCATTGGTTGCAGGGATATGAGGGTGATGGAAGAGGGATTAAGGGAACAATCTTAGTAGCAGGGAATATGAGGGGAGGGAAGAAGGATCAATGGAACATGGAAATGAACGTTCAAAGTGCTTCAACTTCTGAATCTTTACCCCTCCTTGGTGGCACTACTCCCTGTTTTCCCTCCCCATTGGCAGCCCTTCAGCTGGTATCATATGTTCTGCCCTCTGTCTTGATGGGCAAATCTGCCCATGCATTGGTGCAGATGGGGCAGTGTTTGGTATGTCTTTATGTGCTCCAAAACCCAGAGAACTTCAGCGAAGAATACTTGAGCAGACAGAGCAGGGCAATCCTCCGGTTCTGCTGAAGTCATGTGGCTAGCACTGTTTGGAAGTAATAGAAAAAGGAAGAGAGAGGTTTTGTAGTTACACAAGAAGATTAACCTGTGTGTTTTACACCATGTTACATTGTCACATTTTCATTTCATATTCTTACATCTTAGAATTTATTTTCTTGCCCATTTTTGCCTTTCTTGCTGCTAAGTGACTTTCTGCTATGTAAAAAGTAGTTTTACCAATGGTAAAGGCAAATTCGATAAAATAGATTGTCTCATATGCTGTGTTTCTCCAGTCCAGAAGAAATGAACACCAAGAGAAAATTCTGGCAGAGAGAACTCCAGCTTTTTGCTGTGACAGAGAGAGATGAAACAGCTTCCCCAGCCAACTTCAAAGCCGCAAGAACTACTGAAAGCTAAATTAAAACCTTGGTTCTGTGGGGGCCTGACTCCATCCATTCATGCTGCTTCCATTGTTCTAAAAAAATACCAGGGCCTCTCAAACTGTTTGTTTTATTGGCTTGGAAGAGACAACTTGGGACCGCTTGCTCAAAACCTCTCCACCAAAAAAAAAACCCAAGATAAAATATACCCCTCAAAGCCATAGTATCATCCAAAACTCACCACTAATTCAATCAATTACCCTTTAAAATCCACCAGCTGCAATGGTGGGATTTGAACCTGTATTCCCAGATCATTTACCTAGGCTTCTGGATTATTCATCCAGTGATATTATCTTTTGTTTTATATACCCAGTGACTGTTTTTTTTTATACCAGTGATTTTTTTTTTTAACCCAGAAATGCTCTTGCATACAACTGAATGTTTTTTTTTTCTCTAAATCACCAAATCATCTGTAGTATTTTTACCATCAATTAACCACCACCAGATAATCACCTGTGTTTTCCAAATGATTAATTTAAATGCAAAGTCCAATAGGGACAGCGCAGATCATCAAAAGTGGGGGAAAGCGGGAAATCAAAATGGAGTTGCAAAGAACACAGCTCTCTTTTTTTAAAAATATATATTTTCTAATCAACCTGTTCAGAGATGTCGTGAGCAGGTGATACTTGAGCCCAAGTCTTCAGCCTCAGAGGTAGGGGCATTACCACTGCACTGCAAGGAGACCTAAAAGCATAGCTCAATTTTTATATCTGGAGGGGATTTTACACACAACTGAATTAAGAACACAACTCTTTTTTTCTACTCCACCTGTTCAGAGTTGCTATCATGCACCTTTAGAGTAGGTGGGACTTGAAACCTGGGCCTTCTGGGACAGAGGTGGAGACACTATCACTGCACCATAACTTCTAGAACACAGCTCTCAAATATAAAATTCAATGAGTGTCATCTGCTGTACATCAACCATAGACCTGTTCCATTGTACCCTTTAAATAGATCTGCATTTGATATGTAACACCAATTGTACGTTAACAATTTGGATCTGAACATAGAAGATATAATTTGTAAGCTTGCAAATGACATGAAAATTAGTGATATTGTTGATAGTGAGAAGCATGGTGTCAGGCTACAGTCTGATACTGATCAGCTGGTAAATTGGGCAGAGCAATGGCAGATAGAATTTAATCCTGGTATGTGTGAGGTGATGCATTTTGGCAGATCTAATGAGGGAAGGATATACACATGGAATGGTAAGACCCCAGGGAGTACTGTGGAACAAAGGGACCTTGGTATACAAGTCCATCGATCCCAGGAGGTGTCAGCACGGATAGACAGGGTGGTGAAGAAGGTATAAGGGATGCTTGCCTTCATTAGCTAGGGCATAGAATATAGGAGCAAGCATGTCTTTTTACAACTTTATTAAACATTGGTTGGGCAGAGATGGAATCCATATGCATTTCTGGTCAACACTCTATTAGAAGGATGGGACTGCACTGGAGAGCGTGCAGAAAAGATTCACCAGGATGTTGCCTGGGATGGAAATTTTCAGTTATGAGGAGAGACTGGGTTTTCTGGATAGGCTGGGTTTGTTTTCCTTGGAACAGTGGAGGCTGAGGGGGTTCTAATTGAGGTATATAAAATTGAGAGGTATAGACAGAGGAGATTGTGAGAATCTCTTCCCAAGGCAGATGTGCTTAAGACTAGAGGGCACATTTAAGATGAGAAGCAAGTGGTTTAGAGGAGATTTGAGGAAAAAAATTTTTTGCCCAGTGGTTGATAGATGTACACAACACGCTGCCTGAGAGGGTGCAGTTCTTGCTATCTCAATGGGATTAGTGTAGTTTGGTATTTTTTGGTTGGCATAGACATGGTAGGCTGAAGGGCCTATTTCTGTGCTGTATGTCTCTATGAAAATACTAAATTTTGATGGATACAGATGTGATAGAATCTGGATCACTTTGAGGTTATAAATTAACCATGGAATGTGAAATGAATTGGAATTAAAACTCTGACTTGGAGTGTTGTTTATCCTATAAACTGACTGTTGACAACAGCAAGGTAAACAAAGACTCAACAGACTCAATTTGAGAGATTTGTACTTTTTAATTTGTAATTCTTTCAAAACCAGTTTCTTTATGTTTGATTAGCAAGTAATGAGCGTTCGAAGACTGCTTGTGAGCAACATCGAGAGAGACTACAAACGGAACTGAGCCTGCGTGGAAATCAAGCTCTTGTTGGAATCCATATCCCTGAGTGTGATGAAGAGGGGAAGTTCAGGTCTGTGCAGTGCCATGGCAGTACAGGCCACTGCTGGTGTGTATATGAAAATGGACAGGAAATTCCGGGGACTCGGACAGCACCTGGAAGTGATCCACCTCGCTGTGGGCTGCCAGGTCAGTCAGTGTTTTTAATGTGTGAAAGATCTGATTATAGGAATAATTAGGAATTCAAAGCAACTTTATTTTAAAGTGATTCTACCTTGAAATTTGGTGAAATGCACTTGGGAAAAACCGATCATTATTGAAAGAGGTGATTTAAGCAATAGTTATTTGCCCTCTTTTTATAAATGCCTGTATTCATTGTTTGACCTTGGGCTCTAAATGTGGCTGGGATAAAGTGCCTGACCACTGTTATTTGCACTGATGTGGCTTGATTACCTTTCCTGATTACATTCCCTGCCACCCCATATCCAATCATTCTCCCCTTTTGACAACCAGCTCATAATAAAACATGTATCTTGCATTTCTACAGATTTCTCCTTTCTATTCCTCTTTCCTGGTTCTCAACAAATTAATTCGCCACCTATTCAAATTTTCAAATTCAGAGAATTGCATCAATATTTTCATTCTAAGATTCGCAAGCACATACAGTAAGCTAACAGGTGAATGCAAAGGATTAAAAATAAAAAGAGAATTTAAATTAAAAGGTAATGAAAAGAACTGAAAAGAAATGTTTGTTATTTGTATTCCAACCTTTTCTTTCCTATTTTGTTATTTTTGTCATTCACAATCCTGTGACATAAAATCATTTGACACTGATGTTAAATTTTCTCCACACTCACATTCGAGTATAAAATGTTTTCCATAAATGGCATGCTATCACAGATTGACTAAACTTTTACAGCACAGTAGGATGCCATTTGGTCCATGTCTGCACCAGCCTTTCGAATGAGCAACTCATCTGTAACAGTCTCTGGCCTTCTTCCCATAACCCTGCACATTCTTCTTTTTCAGATAACAGTCTAATTCCCTCAATTGAAGCTGCCTCCACCACACTGTCAGCCAGTGCACTGCAGATCCTAACACTTGTTGCATGAGACAATTTTTCCTCCTATAGCTTTTTTGTTTCTTTCACTAATGCCTTTAAATCTGCGCCCTCTCTTTCTCAATGCTTTCATGAGTAAAAAAAAAGTTTGTTCCTATCTGCACAATCTAGATCCCTCTTAATTTTGAAGAACACAACAAATCTCTTCTCAACCTTATTTTCTCGATGAGAAACAGTCCTAGCTTCTCCAATCCTAGCTTTGTAACTGAAGTTCCTTGCTTGTCCATTCTTGCATCTCTTTCCTGCACATTCTCTAATTCCTTAACATCTTTCTGAAAATGCAATGCCCAGAATTGGGCATAATATTCAAACAGATGTGGAACTAATGCCTTACACAAGTTCACTGTAACTTCTTTGCTCTTACTGTATTTCCCTATTGATGAAGCCTGAGATAATTGTATGCTTCACTAACTGCTCTCTGTCTGCCCTACCGCCTTCAAAAACGTGTGCATATATACAGCAAGGATACTCTGTTCCTGCACTCCATTTAGAGTTGTAGGCTTTATCTTGTACTTTTTCTCCATGTTCTTCCTACCAAAATGAATCACTTCACATTTGTCTGAACAGACTTTCAACCCCACCTGTCTACATATTTAAGTTTGTGCCTGACCTGTCCTATGGAGGATGTGGAAATTGAAGTTGGAGCTGGTCTAATGCTGTTGGCTTCCCGACACAATGACAATTGACGTCTTTTTTAACCAACTGCCCGTAGGAAAATCCACTCATTACCTGCCCATCTTGTTAGGTGAAAATTCACCCAAAATCGTTGACCCTTATTTAAAAAAAAGTTCTAAATCACATTACAACGTAAAGCTAACCTACACAAATCGTTTATCATTGACCAAATGTATTTCCAATTACACAACAGTGAGAAAGTTCAATGAGTCAGCTAGGCAGTTCCTCACCATTATCTTTCAAAAGTAACACATTAGATAACAGAACAAATAAATCATACAACATTCATTGAAAATATAAATATCTCTAGGTAAAGGTGTATCCCTGCCCTGATGGTGAGAAAATTAGGATCGATTTGAGATGATTAATTAACTGCAATATGAGAAATGATGATATCTACTCCAACCTGTTGGTTTGATTGTGTTCCCTGTCCCAAAAAACAGACTGGTGACAAAATGCAACATACAAGAAAAAATGATATAAACTCCATCTGAGACACTTATCCTTACAGTTTGGAACTGTGTTCAACTGTTCTTTTGTTTGATTAGCAGCCAGCGAACGTCCAAAATCTGCTTGCGAACAACATCGAGAGAGGCTACAAACACAGCTGAGACTGCATGGATCGCAACCTCTTGTTGGAATCCATATCCCTGAGTGCGATGAGGAGGGGAACTTCAGGCCTCTGCAATGCCACAGCAGTTCAGGCCACTGCTGGTGTGTATATGAGAACGGACAGGAAATTCCTGGCACTAGGACACCCCCCGGTACTGATCGACCACAGTGTGGACAGCCAGGTCAGTCAGTGTCTTAAATATACCAAATGACCAGTATTATTGAGAAAAAAATAAATTGAAAGAGATCTTCTTTCTTTTGAAGTGATTGTTGTAACTTAATGAAACGTGTGTGAAAAGCTGATTATCATCGAAGCGGTTGATTTGGGCATTTGTTTCTTGTATTTACAAAAAACTTATCTTTATTATTTGAACTGTCAGTATGACCAGGATAAAGCATCTAGCCATATTTATTTGCACTGAAGCAATTTCATTATCATTCCTGAGCATTTGTCTCACCTTCCTCATTGTTCTCTTCTATTGTCAACCAGCTCAAAATATCCACTGTAACCCTCACTTCTATTGAACTCTCTGTTTCACTGCTATGTTTCCATCTTTCTGGTTCTCACCAAATTAATTTGTCATTTGTTCAGAGTTTCAAGCTTGGAAAAGTGTGTGTATCTCTTCAGAAATACATGCATTGAGCAAACAAGTAAGCATAATGAATTAAAATTGATCAGAGACCATTAGAAAATGATAAGAAAAGAAAACTAAAACCAATGGAATGATAATTTTGTCCTTTTGTTCAAGTTTTCCAGTCTTTAGGTTTATCTTTCTTTCCATTTGGTCTTTTTCTATATTTCATATGCTTTTATTATTCACCAATCCCGTGACATGAATCCTTTGTTCTCAAAATTTCTCCACTTCACATTACAAAATAAAAATATCCAGCATGTACAACAAAACAGCATAGTTCTGATTAAATGATAAGAAAGTGGCATGGTGGCTCAATGGTTAGCACTGCTGCCTCATAGTGCCAGGGACCTGGGTGCAATTCCACCTTCCAGCAACTGTCTGAGCCACTGTGCCAGGAAAGGAAATTCTCTGAGAAAACTATTGCCAACGCAACACTTCACTGTAATTTCTCAGAAAGTAGCATATATAAGATTACACATGCAAAGACCTAGGATTGTCTGATATGAACCAAACAACACTTGCAAGCACTAAAATCTTGAAATTTGGTATACCCCTGGTAGCAATTAGAATTTGGACCATTTAGAGGTGATGAATTAAGTGTAACATTTGAAATGTATTTAAAGCACGTTGGTTCAGATATATTTTCTTTCATGTAAAGAATCTGGTAAAAATGTAGTAATGCAAGAAAAGACATTACATGACCCAATTTGAGAGTTGTACTTTTATTTGTAATTGTTTCAAAAGTATTTTCATTGTCTGTTTAGCCACTGATGAACGCCCAAGGACTGTTTGTGAACAATACCGAGAGAGACTGCAGGCAGAGCTGAGTCTGCATGGATCACAACCTCTTGTTGGAGCCTATATCCCAGAATGTGATGAGGAGGGGAAATTCAGGCCTCTGCAATGCCATGGCAGTACAGACTACTGCTGGTGTGTGGATGAAAGGGGACAGGAAATTCCTGGGACGAGGACACCACCTGGAGCTGGTCAACCACAGTGTGGACAGCCAGGTCAGTCTGTGTTTGTAATTAAGCAAAATGACCCAGGTTGTAGCAAAATGGAAGTATTCCTAAAGACTTTAATTTTTGTAAAAGTGATCTTGTTGGAGCACCTGTATGTAGTTCATGTTATCATGGAAATAGTAGATTTAATCAGTCTGTTCTCCCCTCCATCTATGTATTGCCTTTTTATTATGCATATTTTCACATGATAGTTTCATATGTGGTGGAAGATTGGCCAATTTAGTTTATTGGTCCAGAGAAATGGCCACTTTCTTCCCCATTTTAGCATCAAGTTTTCCTCCATTGATTCCAAGACATTTTCGTTTACTGTACAAGAGCTTTATTCTGTAGATTCTCTATTTCTTAATGTTTTCAAGTATCTGTCAAAACTCTTTCCCACTCACACCCACCCGAAAACTATGTCCCACCTCAAATATGCTTTAAACAGGGAGATGATTGCTTAATGGTGATGTCACTGGACTAACAACCCAAAGCCAAGGCTAATGCTTGGAAAATATGGGTTCAAATCCCACCATAGTAGCTGGTACATTTGCAACCTGATTCATTGATCTAATCTGGAATTGAAAGCGAGTCTCAATAATTATCATTGATTGTTGGGAGGATAAAGGAAATCTGATTCATTAATGTACTTTCGGGAAAAAGCCTGGCTTCCCATGGTGGGGAGAAAATGGTAATATTTGGAAAGGTCATACTGGAGCTCAATTTTGAAGTATACAAAATGTGTCGGATCGTTATGTGCCATTTATAGGTTTCATTTTTCCTTCCAGGCGACGTGATTGCAGACCTGCAGCTATATAGTTGTCTATTAGCTGCCCTCTGAAATGGCCGAGCAAACAACTCTGATCAAGGGCAGTTAGGGATGGGCAATAGATGCTGACTTTATTGGCATTGTTCACATCCCACAAAAACAAAACACGCACTACTATCTATGCTGCACTAAATGACAATGACTGTACAAAGAGGACCACAGTTGAGTGAAGAGGTAATCCTGGAATGTCAATCTTCTTCAGCAGAGGAGAGGAGAAGGAAGAAGAGGATACGGGGGCATTTGCAGAGGAGCTATCTGAACAGGCTTTTGAGGACGGTAACTCAGGTTGCCTTGGGGCTCGAAGAATTGGCCTGGTGCCAAGATCCATGCTAATTCAACAGTGGCTCACTTGAGTGGCACTCCAACCTATGACAGATCATTCTGTGACTCACCTTCGATCTGAGAGAGAAGTTTTCTATTGAGCAAACACACCTCTGAGTAATCCAATTGCCACCCGGCGACATTGAGAATGGAGCATCCATGATCTCTGTTGCCCCAGGGAGGCACTTCCCCAGGCTGCTGCATTGTATTATTGCAGGGTAACCTCTGTCAAAGGGCCTTGCAGCATAGAGAGGTTTGTGAGTCAGAGGGGCAGAGGAGACAAGAGATGGCGCTGGTATCAGTTGAAGGGAGACCCCAACATCATTGTTTCCGATCTTCTCAGCCGTTTCATGGTGCTGTTTGCATGTTGCATGAGGACCCAGGCTGTGCTGTAGTTGGCATCCTCTCCAAGCACTTCTGCATCATTGGTCAGATCCAGAGTTTCATTCTCTCGGTGCAGGTCAGCGCACGGCTCCTGCATCCATTCAGAGTGCTGCTGCATTTGAATATCCAAGAGAGTGGCCACTGTCTCATTGGAAAAGATTTCATGCTAAATCCATCAACCATGATGGAGCTTGTGAGCCCTGATTGGGAATGTGGTGCACACACATATCTGTTAGCTGCTTGTGGCTCCACAATGCCTCCAGAATCTCTGACATTCTCTCACATTTGTCTCTGATGCTGCAGGACAATTTGTCCTGTCCGTGATACCATATGTGCAGCATCTTCTAACTATGACCGACATCTAGCCTCCAAAGGTAACAGCCTATAGTTGACTCTGCCTCACTTGTCTGAGGTCCAGCTGAAACAAGTGTGCCAGTGGTTGTTGCAGAGAAATGATTTAAAAGTTCAGGTTCGGTGGAGGAGGCTGGGATGTCTGCACAGGAACATTCAGCTGCCCCTCCACTGCAGGGAAATAAAGAAGGTGGTGATGAAAACTCAAGAAATCCAGTAGGTGCCTCGGCTCAACCAACTCAAAGATCCACAACGTACATTGAGCAGGACATTCCTCCTTGCACTTCGCGTATTGATAAAACTATCAAATGACCTTGCTTATTATGGCTTCCAGTCTTACCATTGGCCTGTCGCATTGACTTTCTGGCAGTTTTCTATGCTGCCTCCTCTATTGATATGAGGTTGTGAACATCACCACATGTTCAAGCCTTCTATTGACTGTTGGGCACTCATTAGATGAAGTGAGGCACTGTATGAATGGCCTGGCCTTGCACTGCTACTCTACAGTGATATTGATGAAACTTGGTACATTCTTCAGAGATGCCTTATTCACAGTTTACCTCCATTTATGAGGCTGGCTATTATCTCAATAATGCAACTGGACATCTGCTCTGATGGTGCTTGGGAGAACTTTGGAAAAATCAGTCTGCTTAGGCTGTTCCAGGTACTGGAAGGCTTGAGTTATTAGGAGAGGCTGGATAGGCTAGGACATTTTTCACTGGAGCATAGGAGTTCGAGAGGTGACTGTACAGTGGTTTTTAAAATCATGAGGGGCAGGATTCCTAGCTCTGAACTGCTGTTGCACCACAGTATTTAGAAGGTTTGGTCAGCTCAGTTTCTGGTCAGTGGTAGTCCCTAGAACATAGTTACTGTGGAATTCAACAATGACGAGGCAATTGTATATCGAGCAGATGGTTAGATTCTTAGCCGTTGAAGGTGGTCATTGCCTGATTTCTGTGGCATGCATGTTGCTTCCATTTGGTAGGCCAAGCCTGGATATTGTCGAGATCTTGCTGCAGAGGGACATGGACTGCTTCAACATTTGAGGAGTTGCACATGATGCTGAATGTTGTGCAGTCATCAGTGTACATCCCCACTCTAACCATACAATGGAGAGAAGGTTATTGAAATAACTGAAGATAGTTGGACCTAGGATACTACCCTGAGGAAATCCTGCAGGAATTTCCTGGAACTGAAATGATTGACATTCAACAACTATCTTCCAGTGTATGATTTCAAAAATCAGAGAGTTCTGTCCCTGATGCACATCAATTCCAATTTTGCTAGAGCTCTTTGATGCCACACTCCTCAATTGTTGTCAAGATGTCAAGGGCAGTCACTCTTGGCTCACCTCTGGAGTTCAGTTCTTTGTCCATATTTGAACCAAGGCTGTAATTTGTTCAGCAGCTGAGCGGCCGTGGTGGAACCCAAACTGAGCATCAGTGTGCACATTATTGCTAAGCAAGAACAACTTAATAGCATTATTGACAACATGTTACATCGCTTTTACTGATGATCAAGAGTAGATGAAAGAGGCAGCAGTTGTTGGGTATGACTTTGTTCTTTTTTTGTGGTCAAGATACAGCTAGGAAAATCTCCCATGTTAATAGGTAGTAGAATCTAGCATGTGTTGTAGCTGTTGGTAATGGTAGAGTGAGGAATATGCTGGGCCATGGGTTACAGATTATGGTTGAATATAATTTTGCTGCAACCAATGGCCCACAGTGCCTCATGGATGCCCAGTTTTAAGTTGCTAGATCTGTTCAAAACCTATCCCATTGAACATAGTGGTAATTCCACACAACTTAATGTACCTGAATGTGAAGACAGGACTTCATCTTAAGTCAATAAATGTGGAGCTGGAAAAGCACAGCAGGTCAGAAAGCATCCGAGGAGCAGGGAAGTCAACGCTTTGGGCTGAAACGTTGACTTCCCTGCTTCTCAGATGCTGTCTGACCTGATGTGCTTTTCCAGCTCCACATTTATTGACTCTAGCTTCCAGCATCTGCAGTCCTTACTGTCGCCTTCATCTCCACAAGGACTGTGGATCACTCCTACGAATACTGTCATGGACAGATGTACCTGTGATAGCTCAGTTGATGGGGACAAAATCAAGTAGGTTTTTCCCTTTTGTTGGTGCTCTCACCACCTACAATAAACCTAGTCTAGCAGCTACGTCCTTTAGCACTGGGCTAGTGTTGTGTCCGTAGTATTGCTGCAGAACATTGAAGCCCTCCACTCAGTACATTCTCTGTCGTTTCCACTCTCTGTCCTTCCTCCAATTGGTGTTCAACATGGAGGAGTATTGATTCATCATTCCAGAGAGGGGTAGGTGGTAATTAGCAGGAGGTTTTCTTGCCCTGTTTGACCTGATGCCATGATGCTTCATGAAGTCCAGAGCCAATGTTGTGAACTCACAGGATAATTTATTCCCAAATATATACCGTTGTGCCACCAGCTCTTATGGGGTCTGTCCTGCTGGATGGTGATGTTGGTGTCTGGGATATGATATGTCAGACAAGATTCCATGAGTAAGACTAACTTGGGCTGTTGCATGACTAGTTGGTGGAACTGTTTTACCAATTTTGGCGCAGGCTCACAAATGTTAGTGCCCTGCAGAATTTGCTACTATGTTTTCAGGTACCCATGTCAATTCTGAGTGATCCATATGGTCTCATGTTTTTTAGAGTTTCTACAAATGAGTGGCTTGTTAGCCCATTTCTGAGTCAACCACATTGCTGAGAGTTGGGAGTCACATGTAGGTCAGACTTGGCAAGGATGGCAAACTGTATAACTTAAAGGGCATCAGTGAACCAGATCGGGTTTTGGGAGAATTGACAGTAGTTTCACAGTTAGCATGAGACCAATTTTAAATCCTAGAATTTGTCTGTTAAATAAATTCTGTTAGCCTAGCCCTCTGAATTACCACTATACCACCATTTTGTTGCAGTAGCAATCAGAATATTTGTATGCCACAGGAACCCAATTTGCATACAAACAGGGTGTACTGTCAGAAAAAGCATGGCCTTGGCCAGTCAGTGGTAAGCTGTTTTAATAATAGCATCGGCTAATGTTAGTTTACTAATTCCAGTTTACCTGCTTGTTCCACAAGTTTAATCCTGTTGAGAAGTCACTACTTCCAAATACTATATTCTGATGGCTCTAGCTACATTGTAGTTTCAAATGCAAATAACACAAAGACAAATTTAAGGTTCCATTTGGAATGGTAAGTTTCATACTAACTCTGGTCATAAAATTGGATATTGTTTTGTCATCATGCAAATGGAAGCAATTTGAGATGCTGCATTAAGACTATTGTGTGCAGTCTTTGGGTGGAATCCTGTGGAGGTGATGGGGGTCTTAGCTGAATTGCCACAGGGAGCGTATATTTGCAAACTGTCCTGGGGATAGCGGAGCCTGGAGACAGAGGTTCCATCTGCTGAAAGCTGGTGGTCATTTCAAGGCCGGCAGCATTATTGAATGGGAGTGAAGGCCATCCATGGGCCAACCCACCAAAGCCCTAATCAGAGCAGAGAAAAAAGTTTGCAGGGTCCTCAATCAACCAGCTCCTGTCTGATTTAATCCCCTCCCACCACTGAACCCACCATGGGACAGGGCACAAAATACCATTTGTTTTCTTTTCTATAAACAGACTGACAGTGACGACAAGAAGGGCCATTCCCTGAATTGCATGGTTCATACTATTATTTTGTAATTATTTTATAATCAGAATCATTCTGTTTGATTAGAACCAACTGAACGCCCAAAGACTACTTGTGAACAGCATCGAGACAGATTGCAAGCAGAGCTGAACCTGCGTGGTTCTCTTGATGGAGCCTATATCCCTCAGTGTGACGAGGAGGGGAACTTCACACCTCTGCAATGCCACAGCAGTACAGGCCACTGCTGGTGCGTGGATGAAAGGGGACAGGAAATTCCTGGGACGAGGACACCACCTGGAGCTGGTCAACCACAGTGTGGACAGCCAGGTCAGTCAGTGTTTGTAATTAAGCAAATTGACCAGCATTTCAGTAAAACTGGGGAGTTCAAAGAAACAAGAATAATTTTGAGAGTCTAACTTGGAATTTGGCAATCAACAACATGGTGTAATTTACAAAAGCCGATTATCATGGAACCAGCTAATGTAGTAATCTGTTATTTCCTGTGTGCACTTGGAGCCTGTCATTACTGTCTGACATTGTAACATTATTTGGTCACTGAACAAAAACTCTGACCACATTAACTTCCACTGTAAAGGTCTGGTTATCCTCCCTGATTATTGCCCCTGTCTCTACCATCATCCTCTTCTGTTGTCAACCAGCTCTCAATGTGCCTTCATTTCTACTGATCTTTCTTCTATTGCTGCTCCCCTGATACCATCGTGTTTGCACCAAATTAATTACAATAATCATTTTCTCATGTTTTGCAGCTGAATTCAAATAGTAGTTTATTCTCGCTCTTCGATTCAGAACTGGATGATAAGTACAATACATGTATGAACAAAAGATTAAAGCTGAATAAAAGCACCTTAAAAAACAGATTAAAACAAAAATGAAAATGAATATTTAGTAAATAAAATTGCATATGCCTTTTTGTGTCTTACATTTGCCTTTCGATATTGCTTTGGTGTCTCTGTCTCCCCTTTTCAGGATTTGGGTTACTTTGTTCTTTAGTTACGTGTATGTAAACTAGAAGTCACGCGACATCAATCTTTTTTTCCTATTACTTTCCTGTAAAATAATCCTACATATTCACATTCTTCCAAAGAAAATTCTTCCAATTTCATTCCAGGAAGAATGATTCTGTGAGATAATTACTGAGACAAAATTTCTTTACAACAGTACTCTAAATGAACATTGATCCAATTACAGATACAAAAATCTTGGCTGTTAATACACTAAACGTTATAACGTGTTATTCTGAATTTTGGTGTGTATGAGTAGATCTCTGGTCATGATAAAAGGTGAAAATATTTGAGATGATTATTGAGATTATCACATGTTAATTATGTTCAAATATACTGGCTTAGATACAATATTTCTCTGATCAGGAGAATCCTGATATCTGAAGAGTACAAGGAAAGATGTTACAATGTCCACTATTTATGACTGTTTCAAATCAATTGTTGTTTGTTTGATCAGGATCCATTGAACATCCAAGGACTGCCTGTGAACAGCATCGAGACAGATTGCAAGCCGAGCTGAGCTTGCGTGGATCACAGCCTCTCATTGGAGCCTATATCCCAGAGTGCGATGAGGAGGGGAACTTCAGGCCTCTGCAATGCCATGGCAGTACAGGCTACTGCTGGTGTGTGGATGAAAGGGGACAGGAAATTCCTGGGACGAGGACACCACCTGGAGCTGGTCAACCACAGTGTGGACAGCCAGGTCAGTCTGTGTTTGTAATGGGGCCAGTATTCAGTGAAACAGAGGATTGCAAGGGGTCTTTTAATTTGTTTTCCGAGTAGGAAGTGTCTCCGCCTGCTTTGGCTTGAAGTTAGGAATTCCAAAGTTTACAGGCACTGGGGCATCAGAGAATTTCCTGGATCAATCATAGGTACTGGGTTATGGCTTCCCCTTCAGCAGTGAGAGTTCAGGCTCATATTTGGCTCATATCCAAATCTTAAGCAGCAAGTGCAGAAGTCTTGAGAGCTCTCAAACGTGTTCTCCCTATTGGAGACTGCTGGGAAAGACACTACCCTGGCAGAATGCAGACCAGACTATAGCACTGGTGACAGCTTGGAAGGGAACAGCAAAGATCAGAAAAGGAGCATGGTAGGACATTCTATGATCAGAGGATCAGCGAGCCATTTCTGTAACCATCGTCATAAGTTCTTAAAGACATATTGCTTACATGATGCCAGGGTTAATGAACATCATGGATCATGCTCAACATATTTTGCAAGATAGGGAGTGAACCAGAAGTTGTGAAACACATTGTTAGCAACAAGAGAGGGCAAGTTTTGAGGATATATATAGTCAAATTCTTCTAGATTAAAATTAAAAAGTAAGTCTTCAAGGGTAGCTATCTCTGAATCATTTCCAGTATACACAGAAGGCAGAAGAGAAACAGCAAGATGAGGAGAATCAGTGTATGGCTTAATGGGCGATGCATCTGCAAACTAGCATTTTAGTAAAGGCTTCCACTTCTGGATCTGAAAAGTGCCCAGTCTACCTCAAATTACCCTGGAAAGTCAAAGTATCTCAAAGGTTTGAATGACAGTTTAAGTGAGCCATTTCACATTATAATGAGGTGGCAACATGAGAAATATTTTCAGGATGTTACTGTCATTCCAAAAAGATGTTCTCTCTGCCACACAAATAAAGAACGTTGTGTAATTCCATTGCCAACATGCTGCCAGATTTTTAAGTCAATGACCCCAATGATTGGTTGATTAAATCAAACAGATTGTACCTTCAGTTATTCCATATGACTGGAAGAAATAGGAGCAGGAGTAGGTGTTCGGTCTCTTGAACCTGTTCTGCCATGCAATAGGATCATGGCTGATCTGACATTCCTCAAGTCCACTTTTCTGCCTTTCCCATTACCCTTTATTCCCTCACTGATCAACTTTCTATCTATCACAGCCTTAAATATACACAAGGACTCTGCCCCCACAGCTCTCTGTGGCAAGGAGCTCCAAAAACTCTCCTCCTCATATTGGTTTTAAATTGGCACCCCATTATTCTGAGACTATACCCTCTGGTCCTAGTCTCTCTGTTGAGGAGAAACATCCTTCCAGCATTTACTGTGTCAAGTCCCTTGAGAATCCTGTATGTTTCAGTGAGACCACCTCTCATTCTTCTAAATTCTAGTGAGTAGAGTCGAACCCTATTTAGCCTTTGCTCGTAAGATAATCCTTTCACACCGAGAATCTTTCTACTGAGCCTTCTCTGACCTGCCTCCAATGAAATTATACCTTTCCTTAAATAAAGGGACCAAAACTGCTCACAGTCCTCCAGATGTAGTCTCACCTTCACCTTGTGCAGTTGCAGTAAGATTTTCCTACTCTTCTACTCCAACCCCTTTGAAATAAGGGCCAAATTCCATCAGCCTTTCTGATTACCTAGTGCACCTACCCATAAGTACCCCAAGTGCCTTTATGTTGCAGCTTTCTGTATTCAAATAATACCCTGTTCTTTCGTTCTCCCTTCCAAAATGAACAACTCCACATTTTTCCCACATTACACTGCATTTGCCAACTTTATGCCCATTTACTTAACCTGTCTATATCTCTCTGTAAATTGTTTGTATTCCTCTTGCAAACTGCCTTTCCATCTATTTTTGTGTTGTCTGCAAATTTGCCTACAGTATGTTCACTTCCTTCCACCGAGCCATTAATATATATTGCAAACAATTGTGGTCCCAACAATCGTCAGACACGAGTTCCCTTTCATGAAGCCACGCTGAGTCTGATTAGAGTATGATTGTCTATTTGTTATGGACATGGTAGAGATCAATCTCAAACAGCACACAGTTGCAAAAACCAAAGAAAGCATTCACTATTGGATGTGATTTTATGATTGTGTAATACTTGCAGAACAGTCCTGAGTGTACTAACAAGTACATTGACAACTAATTCAAAATAACTGGTGAAGCCTGTTACATGAATCATTTATGCTTGCTAGAAATAACGTACATTCATACACAGATCTTGCAAACAAAATGATGTGTTCAGGCCATCCAAGTTACTGAATTACCCAAGAACTTTCCATGGCATGCCTTGACCAATCAGAATTAACTTACCAACCAATCAGTACCATATTATCCAGTAATATAAATTATTTTTATCATTTGAAGTTGGCATTCTTGCAGTTGTCCTGGTGCGAGCAAGACCAAAACTTTCAGCAACACGTCTCTGTTTTCAGCAAGTCTAAAAACGAACAGATGAATGCAAAGAAAATGTTTGAAAAATAAAACTTTAATTACTTATTATAACAATTGTAGGAACAAAATAATATAAGAAATTGAAGTAAAAGTAGGCCATATGGCTCTTTGAACCTGCCCAGCTATTCAGTAACTCCATTTTCCGGGCCTCTTCTTATCCCTGTATTTCCTTAGTATGTAAAAATTGATAGTTGTCAATTAAATATAACAAGCAAGTGGATACTCATAGCCATCTGGGGAGGAAATTTCCAAAGATTAACATCCTCTTTGAGCGAAGAGCTAACTCCTCTATCTCAGTCCCAAATACCAGTTCATCATCCTGTTGCTATGACTCCAAGTTCTGAACTCGCTTGTCACAGGAAACAGCCTCTGAAATATACCAGCGGAGCCTTTAAGGATTTTATATGGTTTTAAAAAATCACCTCTTATTATTTTAAGCTCCAAAACAATTGTCAATTCTAATCAATTTCTTCTCAAAAGACAGCACACTCATTCCAGAAATCAATTGAGTGGTTGTTCATTGTACCACCTCCAAAGCAAAGAAGTGGTTAAGGAGATAAAACTGTAAACATTATTTCAACAGTGGTCCCATCAAAACTCTATATAAGCATGATTTTTTTTGCTCTTATACTCCAACCACCTTATATTAAAGGCTAACACCTTATTGACCTTCCCAACTGCGTACCATCCAGCACATTAATTCTCTGTATTCCTTCTATAAAGGCCTGCTAATTATTTTTTATAAAATAATCTGACATTGATTTGTCTCCAAGTATATTCCAATCAAATTCTCCGACACTTCCACAACCTTTTATAGGAATTTCTTTCCAATTCCATTCCAAGAATAACATTTTGGCGAGATAACAGCTCTTCACAACAATATCATTAAACAACAATCATCCAAGGATGTATAAAAAAACTAGGATTATCTATGCGAAAAATCTTATAATATTCATTGCAAATCTGAATTATTTTATGTGCAGATAGATCTCTGGTAGTAATAGAGGTGGAAAGCATTTGAGATGATGATCAAGATTATCACATTAATTATGGTTAAAACGTATTGGCCTAGCTATAGATTTTTGTCTCATTGACAGTCAGATTGTAGAAGAAAAGATGTTACATTGTCCATTTTGAGACATTTGTGCATTCTTTTGAGACCGTAACAAATCAGTTGCCATTTGTTTGAACAGGACCCATTGAACACCCAAGGACTGCTTGTGAACAGTACCGAGAGAGACTGCAAGCAGAGCTGAACTTGCGTGGATTACAGGTGGGGGTCCATATCCCAGAGTGCGATGAGGAGGGGAACTTCAAGCCTCTACAATGCCACAGCAGTACAGGCCACTGCTGGTGTGTGGATGAAACAGGGCAGGAAATTCCTGACACTCGGACTCCTCCTGGATCTGATCAACCTCTGTGTGGACAGCCAGGTCAGTCAGTGTTTTCATTAAGCAAAATAACCAGTGTGGTGTCACAAAACTGATGAGTTCAAGGAGTCTTTTATTTTGTTTTTAAAATTAGGAAGTGTCTTCAGCTGCTTCAGCTTAAAGTCAGAATTTCTGAGTTTGAGGGATAATGAAGTTGTTACATAACATCAGAGAGGATGAGAGTTTTCTGGATCAATTGCAGTTCCGCATTGTGGTTCCCCCTTAGGCTGTAGATGGTTGTCGGTGGTGGTCGTCTTTATGAGAAGGAAGAGACAGAAAGTGCGGAAGTCTTAGGGGTGAGAGCCACTCTCAAAGTTCCCAGTATTGGAGACTGCTGGGAGGGACACTACCCAGGCAGAGTGCCGTCCAGACCATAGCAAGTGACAATGTGAGAGGAAACAGCAAAGACCAGAAATTGATTTACTATAGGAGATTCCCTAGTCAGGGGCACAAACAGGCGTTTCTGTAACCATCATCATGACACCCTATAGTTTGTTAACTCCCTGATGTCACAGTAAAGGTCAGAATGGACCAAGTGCAGAATATTCTGAAGGATGTGGAGTGAGCTAGAGTTGTGACACGCAGTGATAGTAATGATATAGAGAGGGCAGTTATGGAAGACATACAGTCAGAATTTCAGGAGTGAACAGTAGATAAACAAAGATACTAATTGCTGGTTTACTCCAAAAGCAAACAGTGTGTATAAGAAAGGTACAGTGATTGCAAACATATGTTTGTGCCTGCTAATAGGGTCAAAGAGTCAAAGTTTACAAAAACAAATGTCCATAGCATTCATAATAAAACAGATGAATTTTCAATTCAAATAAAAAATCATATGTTATGTCCTGATAGCCATTTCATAGACATGACTACAAGGAAACCAATGGTAATGTAAGATTAAGCTAATCAGGCAGAGTCATCATGGTTTTGTGAAAGGGAAGTCTCGTTTAACCCATTTATTGGAGTTATTTGAGGAAGTGCCATGTAGATAAAGGGAAACTGGTGGATGCACTGTATTTGGATATCCAGAAGTTATTTTATAAAGTGCTACATTGAAGATTATTGTGGAAAATAAAGGCACGTTGTGTAGGGAGCAACATATCAGCATGCATAAAAGATTTGTGAAATAACAGGAAATGGAGAGTAATCATAAATAGGTCATTTTCTAGTTGGCAAGATATAACAAGTGGTGTGCACAGGGATTAGTGTTGGGGCCTCAGCTTTTAACAATTTATATAAATACAGGTAACCTGTATCCCCTGGTTGGGGAATCCAGAATCAATTTAAAAGTAAAGGGGATGCCATTTAGGACTGATTTGCAAAGAATTTTTTTTCACTCACAGGGTATTGTATCTTTGGAATGCTCCACTGCGGAAGCTCAGTTTTTGAGTATGTTTAAAGTAGAGATTGATTGATGGATTCCTGATATACCAGAGCTGTAAAGGGTTATGGGGATGGTGTGGCTCGATGGCATTGAAGTGTTCAATCCGCCGTGATCATATCTAATGGCAGAGCAGGCTAAGTGGGTTCTTGTTCCTACATTCCTAAGTGAGTTGGCTAAATAGTCTGTGGGTATGGTTGCCAAATTTGCTGATGACACAAAGATAGGTAGGAAAGTAAGTTGTAAAACAAAAATAAAACAGGAGAATAAACTAGTGAGAAATATGAAAGCAAATTGTACAAGCCTCTAAAGGTATGTAAAAAGGAAAAAGTTCAGCAAAAGCAAATTCACACAATTACGGGTAGAATTTTAAAGAATTACAACAATGAATAAGGACATGGCAGAAAAAACTAACCAAATACTTTAAAAACCTTCCAGAAATAAAGGAGAACCTAGGGACAAGGTAAAAAGGGAATAGCAAAACATAAATATTTATTACAAAAATAGTCCTAGAGAAATTAACAGGACTTAATAATATTCTGGATCTGATGATCTCTGTCTTAAATGTAAAGACAGATTCATTTGCCACCTTTCAAAATCCGAAAGACTCTGAAATGGGTCGTGCTGAATGGAAAGTGCTAAATTATACCCCATTATTTAAGCCAGAAGGGAGAGAGAAAATGCGGAACAACATACCTGTTAAGGTAACATCAGCTGTAGAGAAAATGTTAGAATCATTTCTAATGATTCATTAGAACATTAATGTATGAATGAACAACATTACATCTACATGCAGATGTAATAACAGTTAGAAAATAACAGTAGGATTGGGCAGAGTCAGGGTAGCTACAGTGCCATATCACTCACTATATATAAAAGCATCAAGGGGAATTGGAAAAAAAGTGGGAATATGGCATTGAGATAAAGGATCAGCCAGGATCATATTGAATGGAGGAGTATGCTTGAATGCCTAATGGCCAATTCCTGCTCCTAGTTTCTCTGTTTCAACATTTCTATGGATTCATGAAAGGGAAATCATGTTTGACAAGCTTGTTGGAGTTTCTTAAGAATGTAACCAACAAAGTAAGTAAGAAGGGACCAGTGAATGTGGTATATTTAGATTTTCAGCAGATTTTGGTAAGGTCTGACATAAGAGGTTAGTAAACAAAATTTAGAGCAAATAGGATTTGTGGGAACATACTGGCATGGATTGAGAATTTGTTAAAAGACAGAAATGAGAGAGTCAGAATGGACCATTTTCAGGTTGGCAAGTTGACAAATAGGGTGAGTACTGCAAAGATCATTGTTTGGGCTCCCAGCTATTCCCAATATATAACCCTGGTTTGGATGTGAAGATTTAATGTAATGTTTCCAAGTTTAAAGATGACACAAAACCAGGCAGAAGAGTGAGTTGTGAGGAGGATGCATAGCCACTTCAAAGAGACTTGAAGAGGCTAGAAGAGAACGCAAAAATTAGGCAGAGGGAATACAATGGGGAGAAATGTGAGAATCTCCATTTTACTAGGAAAAAGACAAGAACATGGCATTTCTTAAATGCTGAAAGGCTGTGAAGTGTTGACTGACAAAGGGACTTGGATGGCCTTGTTCATGAGCCACTGAACGATAACATGCAGGTATAGCACTTGTATCGAGTATAGGATTAAAGGCATCTTACAGAAGTTTTCTAAAGCCTTGGAAAAACCACTGCAAGTGGATTGTGTGCAGTTTTCATCTTACTTTTGGGAAAAATCTATTGCCATTGGGAAAGTGGAGCAAAGATTCATCAAGCTAATTGCTGGGATGGATAGATCACCCTATGAGGAAAGATTAAATAGACTGGCCTATCTTCTCTGGAGTTTAGAAGAATGAGTGATGATCTAATTTTAACAACATTTTTGACATCATCGACACAGGAAGCATGTTTACCCTGAAGGGGGTTCTAGAACCAAGGGACAGTTTGTCAAAATAAGAGGTAGACAGTTTAAGATTGAGATGAGGAATTTCTTCACTCAAAAGGTAGTGAAATTTTGGAATTCTCTATTCCAGAGAGCAGTAGAGGCTCAGTCATTAAGTTTGTTCAGGACCGATTGATTGAACTACACATTGAAAATGTCCAGGGTTATTAGGATTAGTGCAGGACAATGAGAAAGAAGGTCAGCTATGATCTCTTTGAATGGCCTACTTTTGCTCTAATTTCATATGTTTGTATGAGAGTAAAACTTTAGACAGCATTTCAACTGTAATTTCACCAAAGCTAATGCAAGTGTGATTTTCGTTTCTTCTCCAGTGTTCTAATAATAGAGTAATGCACCATTGACCTGCCAAAAAATGTGCTGTCCTTGCACATTAACTCCTTATGAAACATCTACAAGGACTTCCAAATCTCTTTGTATTAAATAATCTGATATCAATGTTCTCTCCTATTGCCTTCGAAAAAAAACCCATGCAATCTTCAAAAGAATATTCTTTATAATTTCATTCCAGGAAGAATGCCTCTACAAGATAATTACTGCCAGAACAATTACTCATAACAGTTGTTGTAAAAGAACATTTATCCAATTACAGACACAAAATGGAGGGCTTTCTCCAAAATAAACCTCATTAAACCTTAACACTCATTGTAATTCTGGATTCCTTTATGGAGAGATGAATCCCTGGTGGAAATGATAATTAAGATTAAGGCATGTGAATTATAGTAAAATAAGTTAGTACAGGTATAATTTCATTCCTATAAAGAAACTGATGACACATGGTGTGTAAAGCAAATTATGTTATAATGTCCATTTTCAGATACTTTGCAATTTCTCCAAATCGGTTTCTGTTTGTTTGATTAGAACCCATTGAACGCACAAAAACTGCTTGTGAACAGTACCGAGACAGATTGCAAGCAGAGCTCAGTTTGCGTGGATCACAACCTCTTGCTGGAGTCTATATCCCTCAGTGTGATGAGGAGGGGAACTTCAGGCCTCTGCAATGCCATGGCAGTACAGGCCACTGCTGGTGCGTGGATGAAAGGGGACAGGAAATTCGTGGGACAAGGACACCACCTGGAGCTAGTCAACCACAGTGTGGACAGCCAGGTCAGTCTGTGTTTTTTATGAAGCAAAATGACCAGTATGGTACCAAAGAAAAATTGTTGAATTCAAGGAGACTTTCATTTGTTTTTGAGAGTAGGCAATGTCTTTAGGTGCTTAAGGTCATGATTTCTGAGCTTGAAGGGCAGTAAAAATGAATTACATGATTTATTGTCACTTGTATTTAAGGGAAAGTACAGTGAAAAGCTTCAACTGTCGCCATACTCTGGCACCATTATGAATGATGTAAAAATAAACAAAAAGACATAACTGAAAAAACAGTCCATCTTTTGTCTTAAATGGAGCTATCATAGGATATTCTATAGTCGGGGGACAGGGGCATCTTGAATAACTGTCACCATGAATCCCCCATGGTGTTGTACTTCCTGGTGCCAGGGTGTAGAATATTTTGCAGGATAGAGATTAGGCCCTGGCTTATAATGTACTTTGGTAGCAGTGATGTATGAGATCACAAACATTAGAGGTGTCTGGTCAGATTTTTCAGGATTTAGGGATGCAGTTAAAGAGTATGTCCTCGAAGAAAGTAATCTCTTGTTAACTCCCAAAGCACGTATGCCTTGAGGCATAACTTTACAAAATGGTGAAAGTCTCTGGACCTGAAAACTGCCCAGTCTACTTCAATTTTCCCTGATTTCAAAGCACCTCAAAAATTTGAACAACAGTTTAAGCAAGTTGTTTCATGTTGCTACAATGCAGTGGTCATACCAGTGATAGTTTCAGCTAACAGTGTGTTACTGTCCGGTTTTGATTAGCTCACAATTGAACAACATCTTGTAATATTATTCTCCGTATGATGCCAGATATGTAGGCTGTATGTCCTAATGATTGGCTGATAGAATTAAGCAACATGTTCCTTCAGTTGTTCATAATAGGCAGCAGACAGACCATATTGATCCATCTCACAATCGCAAATGTGTACCATTAGATGAGATTCCACGATTGGGTAGTGCTTGCTGAACAATCCTGAGTCTAATCATAGTGACAGTAACAAATAAGATACTCAGGCATGCATTTACCCTTGCTACCTTCATATGCAGTAACACATTATCTGTAAACAAAAAGGAATATGTTGAAATGTTCCACATTTTTTCAGTTACCCGGGATCTTGGTGAGCATTTATTTATCAGTTGATTAGAAGGTATTGCGATGGAGAAAGCAGAATCAACCTGCCAACCAATCCACACCCTTTTCTGTAGCAATGCGGTTGTGATCATTTGAACTTGTGGCATTCTTGCATTTGTCCTGTTTAAAATAACATTTTAACTGTTACTATAAACATTGTAGGAACATATGAATATAGGAAATTGTAGCAGGAGAAGGCTGTATGGAACCTTGACATTAACTCCATTTTCCTGCCCTTTGCTCTAATTCCTTGTTTCAAGGATTGATTTCAACCTTGAATGTATCCATCAAGTGGGCATTCACAGCCCTCTGCAGAAGGGAATTCCAAAGATAAATATCTCTGAGTGAAGAGCTTTCTCCTCATCTCACTCCTAAGCGTCCAATTCCTTAACTTGTTACTATGATTCTAAGTACTGGACTCACCAAATCTCAGGAAAAAAGCCTCTAACATTTACCTGTGGAGCATTTTTTAAAAAATGTACATGGTTCAACAAGATCCACCTCATTATTCTAAACTCCAAAATAACTTTGCCAATTTTACTCAATCTCCCTCAAAGGACAGCTCCCTAATTGCAGAAATTCATATAGAGAACTTTCATTGCACCACCTCCAAAGCAAGTATATCCCTCATGGTTAAGGAGAATAAAACTCTAAAAATTATTTCAACTTGGGTCCCACCAAATTTTTATATAAGCATTTAAAAAAAACTAGGAATGCTGGAGATTTGAAACAAACAATATCAGGAATTGCTGGAGAAACTCAGCAGTTGAAGCAGTATGTCTGGATAGAGAACAGGTTAATGTTTGGAGTCCTGTTACCCTTCCGCTCACTCCTTTTCCCCTCCACTGCCACTCCCTGTCATCAGTATAAATACCACCTATCACCTCTTCTCTGTCCGACTATCCACAATTCATGTCCAACATTGAGGCTACTGCATCCATTACTGACCTTGTAAGAAATTGGCCCCAAAAATCTCTTTTTTCTTATTTCTTTCTCTCTCTCTTCTTTCTCTCTCTCTCTTCTTTCTTTCTCTCTCTCTCTCTCTTCTTTCTCTCTTCTTTTCTTTCTTTCTCTCTCTCTCTTTTCTTTCTTTCTTTCTCTTTTCTCTCTCTCCACAGATGCTGCCAAACCAGCTTAGTTTATCCAGCAAATACGTTTTTCTGTTTGTTTTATGTAAGCATGATTTCTTTGGTTCAACCTCCTTATCAAAGGCAGTACAGTTGACCTTTCCAAACATGTGCTGTCCCTGCATGTTAATCCTCTGTGTTTTATGTTCAAGATCTTCCGAATCTCTGCAGATTTTCTCTATTTAAAATAATCAGATGTCAATGTTCTCCTCTTATACTCCAATCAAATCATCCTATACAATTGCATTCTTCCAAAGAGAATTTCTTCCTCGGATGGAACTAGAAATACATATCCCCACAGGGCAGGTGATTGCTAGTGGTATTTTTGCTAGACGGTGATTCAGTGATCCAGGCAGCCTTTTGACAATTTCAATCCCCACCATGGCAGATGGTGGAATTTGAATTTAATAAAGATCCAGAATTAAGAGTCTAATGATGATCATAAAACAGCTGTTGATTCTCAGAAAAACCCATCTCGTTCACTAATGTTCCTTAGGGAAGGAAACTGCTGTCCTTATCTGGTAAGGCCTACGTGTGACTCCAAACCCATAACAATGTTAACCGTCCTCTGGGCATTTAGGGATGGACTGTAAATGCTGGCCTAGCCAACAACTCCCACGCCCCATGAATTAATTTTAAAAAATGAAAAATTGTTGCAATAAGACCATCTCACAACAATATTGTAAAACCGCATTGATCCAATTACATATAAAAAATCTTGTTGTTGCTGCAATGAACTTCATTCTATTCATTGCAAATCTGAAATCTGCTGTGTACAGAAAGCTGTCTGCTGATGATAAGGTGAAAACCATTTGAGGTGATGATGAAGATTATATCATACGAATTAAGTTAAAATGTATTGACTTAGATATAATTTTTAACTATAAAGAGACTTGTGATATCCAGCGTGCAGAAGAAAAGATATTACAATATCCACTTTGAGGCATTTGCACATTGTTTTGAAATTGTTTCAAATCAGTTTCTGTTTGTTTTGATCAGAACCCATTGATCGCCCAAGGACTGTTTGTGAACAGTACCGAGAGAGACTGCAAGCAGAGCTGAGTCTGCGTGGATCACAACCTCTTATTGGAGCCTATATCCCAGAGTGTGATGAGGAGGGGAACTTCAGGCCTCTGCAATGCCATGGCAGTACAGGCCACTGTTGGTGTGTGGATGAAAGGGGACAGGAAATTCCTGGGACGAGGACACCACCTGGAGCTGGTCAACCACAGTGTGGACAGCCAGGTCAGTCTGTGTTTGTAATTCAGCAAAATGACCGGAATTTCATCCAAGAAAAGAATTAGTTCAAGAGACTTTTAATGTAATTTTCTGAATCTAGTAAGACTTGTTCTTTTTAATAATGCTTTTCATGACCACTGAACCTGCTTAAAGTGCTTAGCAGCCAATGAAGTTATGTTAAAGTGTTATCACCTATTGTTTCTGCATCCACCACCTTCATGGACAATCGGTGATTTCAAAAAGAGAAGGAAAGGACACGTGGTAGAAGTGAACCTTCAGTAAGGGGATCAAGCAGGAACTGACTAGGCTGAACATGAATAGCTGACATGAACATGATGAGCTGAATAGACAATTCTATGTGTAAATGACTTTAACACTGTAAAGGACTCAAACTTTGAGCTTTGATAAGCACCTGGGTGTATCTCAGTGAAGCTGGTTATCATAGAAACAACTAATATAGCCATCTGTCATTTCCTGTGTACATGTGGTGTCTGTCATTATTGTTTGATGTTGAATTCTAACTATGATGGAACAAAGCGTCTCTCTCTCGGTCTCTTCCCTCTGTTGAGCATGTAGGTTATTTTCCTTAGTTGCATGTTTATTGACTAGTACAACATCAACTTTCTCTCCTATTACTTTCCAGTAAAATAATTCTACACAACTACATTCTTACATTTCTAGTCTAGGAAAAATAATTCTGCGAGAAACTGACTGATAGTGACAAGGAAAGACATTCCATGACCCAACTTGTGTGAATTTTACTTTGATTTTAAAATAACAACTACAAAATAATGATGTTTATCTTTGATTAGAACGCATTGGTCACCCAAAGACCGTTTGTGAACAGTACCGAGAGAGACTGCAAGCAGAGCTGAACTTGCGTGGATTACAGGTGGGAGTCCATATCCCAGAGTGCGATGAGGAGGGGAACTTCAGGCCCCTGCAATGCCACAGCAGTACAGGCCACTGCTGGTGTGTGGATGAAAGGGGACAGGAAATTCCTGGGACGAGGACACCACCTGGAGCTGGTCAACCACAGTGTGGACAGCCAGGTCAGTCAGTGTTTTTTATGAATCAAAATTACCAGCATTTCATCCAAAAGGAAAAAAGAGGAGTTCAAAACATCTTTAATGTAATTTCCTGAATATAGTAAGGCTTGTTCTTTTTAATAATGCTTTTCATGACCACTAAACCTGCTTAAAGTGCTTAGCAGCTAATGACGTTTTGTTAAAGTGTCGTCACCCATTGTCCATGAAGGTGGTGGATGCAGAAACAATCAGTAATTTCAAAAAGAGAATGAAAGGACACAAGGCAGAAGTGAACCTCTCGGCCTAGGCGGGGGGATAAAGCAGGAACTGACTAGGCTGAACATGAACAGCTGGTTTGAACGTGATGAGCCGAATAGACAACTTCTATGCTGTAAACAACTTTAACACTGTAAAGGACTCAAACTTTGAGCTTAAATAAGCACCTGGGTGTATCTCAGTGAAGCTGGTTATCATAGAAACAACTAATATAGCCAACTGTCATTTCCTGTTACATGTGATGTCTGTCATTATTGTTTGACATTGAGCTCTAACTATGACAGAACAAAAAGTCTGTCTGTTTTAGTTTCCATCATAATGTCTATTTCTATTTTCTGATTACAGTCCCCATCTCTCTTCTGGACTCAACTACTTCTCAGTATGCCTTATATTCTTCAATTCTAATGATCTCTTGTTTCTTTTGCTGATCCACTTATACGTTGTTTTCCCAAAATTCATTAATTATGTTCTCAGATTTTGCAGTCATACTTAAACAGTAGTTCATTTTTACTCTTAGATTCTGGAATGTATGAAATGCACAATACACTGATGAAGAAACAACTAAAATTGAATGACATCCCCCAAGAAATAACAGAAGAAAACAAAAAGGAAAATCAGTGTTTAGTAAATACATTTTTGTCTGTCTTTGTGTTTCTACATTTGAATGTTTGTTAGTTCTTCTCTCACGCTCTCATTCTCTCTGTCTGCTTATTGAGGATCTGACTGATCTTTCTTCAGTTACATGTCTAGGAACTAGAAATCATATGACATCAATTTTCTCTCCTGTTGCATTTCAGTAAAATAATTCTACACAACCACATTCTTCCAATTCCATTCCAGGAAAAATAATTCTGTGAGAAACAGACTGATAGTGACAAGGAAAGACATTCCATGACCCAATTTGCATGTATTTTACTTTGACTTTAAAATTACTACAAAATAAGGATCTTTTTGTTTGATTAGAACCAAGGACTGCTTGTGAACAATACCGAGAGAGACTGCAAGCAGAGCTGAACTTGCGTGGATTACAGGTGGGGGTCCATATCCCAGAGTGTGATGAGGAGGGGAACTTCAGGCCGCTGCAATGCCACAGCAGTACAGGCCACTGCTGGTGTGTGGATGAAAGGGGACAGGAAATTCCTGGAACAAGGACACCACCTGGAACTGGTCAACCACAGTGTGGACATCCAGGTCAGTCAATACTTTTATGAAGCAAAATGACCAGTGTTGCAATCAAACTGTGGAGTCACTACAGTAATTTTGTGCACCTAACTTAAATTTGATGATCAACAGCATGGTGTAATTTACAAAAATTGGTTATCATGGTACGAACTAATGTGGTCATCTGTCACTTCCTGTGTGCACATAGAACCTGTCATTACTGTTTGATGTTGAGCTATAAATATGACAAGAGAAAAAGTCTGACCATATTAACCTCCATCCAAATGGCACAATTTTCCATTTTGAGATGGTGCGGATAATAGCAAGTCTGATGAATTAATCAAGCAAAACTCCTAAAGTTGGATTCTCGCCGTCAAGATAACTTTTCACAATCAAATGCCTCCCACCTTAGATGGCAAAATGACTCTCTTACACTAGGTGGCGAGAAACCTATCTGCATACACTTGCATCTCATTATTACATTAATCTTCAGAATTAACATCCCTTTCTCCGTTAACCTTTGTCAAATTGAGATAACTGATGCTTCAGAAACATGACTGCAGAAAGCAAGAGGATAACTGACGACTTTGCTCCTCTGCTTCCAGTTCGGGTGAGTGTACAGCTTTGCTCTACCTCTGCAGATACCTTTGCAAAGCTTTTTCTCTTCACCACCCCTGGAACTGCTACAACAGCAGTAGGTACTTCCATGTTAACCATTACATCCGTCATTGTGTACAACTCGGCAAAAAGCAATGTATCAGCTTCTCAAGTGGCTCGGTAGTGCAAAAAGAAAAGGAAGCTTTAGCCCAGATGGCAAGACCGGAGCATGTGGCTGTAACAGTAAAGGAAGCCGGAAAACGGTGAAACATTAAGGTGTAAGTGTCATTGCACAACAAGTGCTACATCAGAGTCAGAGGTGGTGCATGTCACTGCAGCTTGTGTGACAAACAAGGGTGAGGGTGTAGTCCAGTCAGGGATTCCAAGCACGGTTAGTCCATTTCTAGAACGGTAGGGGAGGGTTGGCCTTGGTCAGCCGGGCAATCGTTCCGAGTTCAATCTAAGGTTCTGCAGTGTTGTATTTCAGGGATTAAGCCGCGAAGTCGAGCAAAACAAGTCTAGTACTTGCTTGAGGTCATCTTGCAAAGTCAGTCTGGAGGATTACCTGCAGTCAGCAAGGTGGATCATACATAATCCAGGGGTCAGGGTCAGTCTGTGGTGTCACTAAGGCTGCAGGCAACTTGAGTCTGCAGTTCACCTACTGGTGTTCACCAGCCGAGGGAGTGCTCGCAGTCACTGAGGCAATTGTCAATTGTTGGGTGTGATCTGGGAGGATATGGGAGGGCGCTGCTCGACCTCGAAATGAGGTTCAAGGCAAGTTGTGGTGTCTCTGGGCTCAGTGGGGAGGGTGCAAAGCTTGAAAAGGTATTGGTATCTCGTAGTCATGGACTCTGGGAGTAAAGCAAGGACATTAATTATCAAGTAAAGGACCTAAACCAAAATGGGGAAGGATGAAGGATCATGGGGGCACAGGGATCACAACATAATTGGAACATGAAGAATAAAGGAGTATTTTGTGGACCAGACTCAGAGCCTGTAAGTCACTGCAGCAAGCAAGTACGTATTCTGAACCTTAGTTAAGTACAAAAATCTCATTCACGTTTTCTGTCACCCCGGGTTTAAAACTGAGGAGTTCTGCTTAATTTTTAAAATCTTTGTGATGACTCTGGGAGAAGAAGGACTTGGTTTCTAGTGTGCTATCCCAGTGAGGCATGAAGCAAAATGACCCACACTTTATCAAAACTGAGAATTAAAAGCAACTTTTTGAGTCTGACTTCAAACTTGAAGAAACAGCTAGGTTTAACTCACAAAAGTTGGTTATCTTGGAATCTTTTGTCATCAGTTAATATCTTTGGTTATGTACTGCCAATCACTACTATCTAAAGTGCGTAATGATCCTTGCTGTTTCAAAATTAACTTGCCATTTATTGAAATATTGTGTTAAAATATCTTTGCTCTAACATTTATACATAAATGTACTGCATTATAGATCGTCAGAAAGATAACAGGTGAATGGAAAATAGAAATGAACATTTTTGAACAAAAAATGCTTGTTACAACCATTGTAAGAACATAAGAAATAGGAGTAAGAGCAGTTCCTCAAAGTGACACTACCATTCAATGGCTGAACAAAGAAAGAACAAAGAACAAAGAAAATTACAGCACAGGAACAGGCGCTTCGGCCCTCCAAGCCTGCGCCGACCAGATCCTCTATCTAAACCTGTCGCGTATTTTGCAAGGATCTGTATCCCTCTGCTCCCTGCCCATTCATGTATCTGTCTAGATACATCTTAAATACGCTATCGTGCCCGCCTCTACCACCTCCACTGGCAGCGCATTCCAGGCACCCACGACCCTCTGCGTAAAGAACTTTCCACACATATCTCCCTTAAACTTTTCCCCTCTCACCTTGAAATCGTGACCCCTAGTAATTGAGTCCCCAACTCTGGGGAGAAAGCTTCTTGCTATCCACCCTGTCTATACCTCTCATGATTTTGTAGACCTCAATCATCCTGGTGAACCTCCTCTGCACCCTCTCCAAAGCATCCACATCCTTTTGGTAATGTGGCAACCAGAACTGTCCGCAGTATTCCAAATGAATATTCCAGTATTCCATTAGAACTTCAACATGGCCTCCATTTTCCTGTCTTTTTCCACTCTTCTATGTTTTGTTAGTGACTAAACGTTTGTTGATCTCAACCTAGAACATGTTAATCAACTGAGCATCTATAGCCCTTTTGGGAAATCAATTCCAACAATTCGCAATTCTCTCAGTGAAGAGATTTCTCCTCTCCTGAACTCTTTACTAGACAAATCCTTAATTAACCAGTTGTTATGACCCTGTGTTCTAAATTTTCCAGTCAGGGGAAATAACCTCTCACCATCTACCTGTCAATCCTTGTTTCAATGAGATTGCTACTCACTCTTCTAACTAAAGAGGAATTAGGCCCATTCTACTTTACCCCCATCCTAGCACAGCTTCCTTATTCCAGGATTCAATCTCCTGAATCTTCATTGCTTTTATTTGAAGGTAAACATGTCCTTTATTGGGTATGGAGACTAAAACTGGAGCCAGTACAAGAGGTCTGTCAAGAATCACCTGATCTCACATTTTTCTTTCCTGTTATATTTGACATAACTATGTTTTCCTAAAGAAAGTTTTTATATTCTAATTATTTGCCAGGCAAATATTGCTTCCATACAATGTTGATTTGTATAACATATCCTCTATAACACTGTTTATAAAAGAACATTTGCCGGTTACACTTGGGATTCTCTCTGCAATAAACTTTGGAATAGATTGAAAACTTGATTTCTGCTGAGTACAGGTGTATTCCTGTTATGTTAGAGGTGGAAAACATTTGTAAGACTGAATTAAAATTATAACAGAGCTATGTTAAAACGTATTGCCCTAAAATTTCTTTGCTATAGAGTGGTGACACCCAGCATTTAGAAGAAAAGATGATGCAAGAACCAATTTGAGACATTTATTCTTGTGTTTCATAAAGGTTTTTCTGTTTGAACAGCTCATGTTGAAGGCCCAAAGACCGTTTGTGAACAGCATCGAGAGAGAATGCAAGCAGAGCTGAACCTTCGTGGATCACAGGTTGGAGTCCATATCCCAGAATGTGATGAGGAGGGGAACTTCAGGCCTCTGCAATGCCATGGCAGTACAGGTCACTGCTGGTGTGTGGATGAAAGGGGACAGGAAATTCCTGGGACTAGGACTCCTCCTGGATTTGGTCAACCACAGTGTGGACAGCCAGGTCAGTCGGTGTTGTAATTCAGCAAAATTATTAATACTAGAGCAGAAGACGACTTCAAAGAAACTTTTTTTTTATTTTGTATGAGTCAAACTTAAAGCTTGGAAAAATATGCAGATGAAATTCAGAGGCTGGTTCTTGGCAGACTACACGGGGATGAGGGAGGAGTTGGCTAAGAAAGACTAAGCAAGGACTATGTGGTGGAACAATTTGAGGAACAGTGGAGGACTTTCAAAGTGATTCTTCACAGTGCTCAGCAAAAGTAGATACCAGTGAAAAGGAAGAATTGTAGGAAAAGGGATTATTAGCCATGGACAACTGAGAAAACAAAGAAGGGTATCATATTAAAAGCTAATGCAAAAATTAGAAGGAAATGAGAGGATTGGGAGATCTTTAAAGCTCCCAGAAAGCCACGAGGAAAGCTATAAAGAAAGGTGAGATAGATCGAGAGTAAACTAGCTCAGAATATAAAAACAGATCACAAAAGTTTCTATAAATATATAAAACGAAAGAGTGGTGAAGGTAAACATTCATCCTCTAGAGGATAAGAAGGGGGACATAATAATGGGAAATGAGGAAATGGCCGTACAGGTATTTCATGTCCGTCTCTACAGTGGAAGACACAAATAACATGCTAATAATTGATGACGACGAGTCCATGGCAGATCATTATCACCTAAAGAGGAAGTACTGGGCAAGCTAATGAGGCTAAAGGTAGGCAAGTCTCCTGGCCCTAATGGAATGTATCCCAGGGTACAAAAAGAGATGGCAGGGGAAATAACAAATGTGCTTGATAATTTACCAAAATTCAGTGGGGGGACTCTACGATAGTTCCCATAGATTGGAAAATGGCAAATGTGACGCCACTCCTTTTTTTAAAAAAAGGAGGTAGACAAAAGGCAGTTAATTATAGACCTGTTGGCTTAACTTCCACCAGTGGAGAAAATGCTTGAATCTATCATCAAGCAAGAAATAGTGAGATACCTGGATAGAAACTAACCCATGCTACATCTGACCGATGGGTCAATGAAAGGCAGGTCAAATCCTGGAATTCTGTCCCTATTGGCATTGTGAGTCAACCCACAGCAGGTAGATTGCAGCAGTTCAAGAAAGCAGCTCACCACCATCTTCTGAAGTGCAACTAGCGATGGACAATAAATGCTGGCCAGACAGTGACGCCCACATCCCATGAATGAATACAAAAAATGTAGCTCACATACATTCAGCCTGTGTCATTGAAACAGACTGTAGATTGTTGAGGCCCAACACTGATTCCTGTGGCAGACCTTAACAAACTGAAAATGACCCATTTATCCCAAGTCTTTGCTTCCTTTTTGCTAACCAATGCTTTATCTGAGCTAATATTTTACCTCTCATACCATGTTCCCTTGTGAAATAAGTTCAGTGGCACCTTATCAAATGGATTTCAAAAATGCAAGTACACCACAACTGTAGGTCCCCTTTTATCTAGCTTATGTGTTACTTCCTCATAAAACCCTAATACATTAGATAATAACAATAACCCTGTCAAACAAACCATGTGGACACTGGTTGAACATTTCATCATGTGTAATCTAAGTACCTTTTTCTAATGGATTCTCACAAACTCCCTGTGACAGAAGTTAAGCTAACTGACCTTTAGTTTCCAACAGTAGGACCAACACTTCCTCCCAAGGTTCCCACATCACAGGTTCCAGTGTCCAACCACTTTGATTCACTCCATGTGATATCAAGAAATAGCTGAAGACACAGGACAATGTGAGGGCTATGAGTCCTGACAATATTCCAGCAATAGTACTGAAGACTTGTGCTCCAGAACTTGCCATGTCCCTAGCCAAGCTGTTCCAGTGTAGTTTTAACACTGGCATCTACCCAATAATACAGAAAATAGCCCAGATATGTTCTGGCCACAATAAGCAGGCCCAGTGCAAACCAGCCAATTACTGCCTTTTCTACTCTAAATACTAAGCAAAGCAATGGAAACTGTCATTGTCAAAGCAATACTTGCACAGGAATAACAAGCTCACTGATGCTCAGTTTCACAGACATATTTTTTAAAAAAATGAACAAAAGAGCTGAACTCCAGAGGTGAGATGAGAGTTACTGCCCTTGACGACAAGGCTGCATTTGACCAAATATGGCACCAAACAGCCCTAGCAAAATGGCACTCAATGGGAATCAGGGGAAACCTCTCTTGAAGAGAATACACCCTGTTACCTCTCTGTGTCAGTGTTGAAAGGAGTCAATACAAAAGGGAGGCGATGGCCTCGTGTTATTATCATTAGACTGTTAATCCAGAGATCCAGATAATGTTCTGGGGACCGGGGTTCGAGTCCTGCCGTGGCAGATGGTGGAACTTGAATTCAATAAATATCTGGAATCGAGAATCTAATGATGACCGCAAATCCATTGCCGATTGTCGGGAAAAACCCATCTGGTAGGAGTTATACCTGAAGTTGTTGGACTTCAATTACCACAGCTCCAAGACATCTCTGCAAGAGGTCCACAGGGTAGTGTCCTTGACCCAACCATCTTCAGCTACTTCATCAATGATCTTCTCTCCATCATAAGGTTAGAAGTGGGGATGTTCGCTGATGTTCAGCACCATTCACAACTCCTCAGCTACTGATGCACTGTGCATCCATCTTTATCAAGACTTGGTCAACATTCACGCCACATAACTGCCAGGCAATGATCACCTCCAGCAAGAGAGAATCTAACCGGTATTCTTTGATATTTAGTAGTATTACCATTACTGAAACCACTCCTTCCCCCACCACCCCCGCCAACCATTACTGACCAAAAACTGAACTGGACTGGACATATAAATACAGTAGCTATAAAGCAGGTCAGAGGCCAGGAAATTTGCACTGAGTTACTCCCCTTCTAGCTCTCCATCAGTAATGTGTTGGAATACTTTCCACTTGCCTACATGAGTGCAACTACAATAACACTCAAGAAGCCTGACTCCATCCAGAACAAAACAGCCACTTTTTTGGCACCCCATCCAACAGCTTCAATATTATTTTTCTTTATTCATTCATGGGATGTGGGCATCGCTGGCTAGGTAGCATTTATTACCCATCCCTAATTGCCGAGAGGGCATTTAAGAGTCAACCACATTGCTGTGGGTCTGGAGTCACATGTAGGCCAGACCAGGTAAGGGTGGCAGTTTCCTTCCCTAAAGGACATTAGTGAACCAGATGGGTTTTCCCAACAATCGGCAATGGATTCGCAGTCATCATTAGATTCCCAATTCCAGATATTTATTGAATTCAAATTCCACCATCTGCCATGGCAGGACTCGAACCCAGTCCCCAGAACATTATCTGGATCTCTGGATTAACAGCCTAGCGATAATAGCACGAGGCCATCGCCCCCTTCTATATTGACTCCTTTCGACACTGACACGGAGAGGGTGTATCCTCTACAATAACTCACCATGGCTCCTACTAAACCTGTGAAGGACAAGGGCAGCAAATGCAGGGGAATGCCACCACCTACAAGGTCCCCTTCAACTGCTGTTCCCCTGTATCTGCTGCTCTTATCCTTCTAGACAGTAGTAGTTATGAGTCTGGAAGGTGCCTTCTATGGAGCCTTAATGAATTTCTGTGGTGCATCTTGTAGATAGCAGCAGTGTGTACTACTGAGCATTGATGGTGGAGGGAGTGAATGTTTGTCAATGTTGTGCCAATCAATTGGGCTGCTTTGACCTGAAGGTGTGAAGCTTCTTGTGATAGAGGCAAGTGGGGAGTATTCCATCACATTGCTGACTTGTGCCTTGTAGGTGTGGAGTCAGGAGATGAGTTACTCACTGCAGGATTCCTAGCCTCTAACCTGCCTTTGTGGCCACAGTGTTTTCATAGTTACTCTCATTCAGATTCTGATCAATGGTAACTTCCAGAATGTTGATAATGGAGGATTCAGCAATGGTAATGCTATTGAATGCTCAGAGGTGACGGTCAGATTCTGTCTTTTTGGAGATGGTCATTGCCTGGCACCTGATGTCTGTATGTTATTTGCAGCTTGTCATCCCAAGCCTAAATATTGTCCAGGTCTTGCTGCATTTAGACATGGACTGCTTCAGTGTGTGCAGATGAATAAAATTAAAATCAATCTAATGTGAAACATTTACAAAAGAAATTTAATTTTAAAAAACACCTTTCAATTCTGGCAATGGATTTGGAATGCAATGTTTTTGGTTGTGACACAGACCTTCTTTAATTAACCATGAGACTGATAGAGAACCCCATGTCAGTCATGTTGTAAACTGAAAATGGATTTCACATCTGAAATGCATTGCTTCTGTAAGATCAGGTATGGGAAATAGGCAGTGTGTAGGAAATCAGTGTTACACGATGGAAATTGAGGGATTTATACTTTTACAAAACTAAAGTTTCTTTCTATCTCCCTAGAACGCACTGAACCTGCAAAGACGGCTTGCGAGCAGCATCGAGACAGATTGCAAGCAGAGCTGAGTCTGCGTGGTTCTCTTGTTGGAGCCTATATCCCTCAGTGCGATGAGGAGGGGAACTTCAGGCCTCTGCAATGCCACAGCAGTACAGGCCACTGCTGGTGCGTGGATGAAAGGGGACAGGAAATTCCTGGGACGAGGACACCACCTGGAGCGGGTCAACCACAGTGTGGACAACCAGGTCAGTCAGTGATCTGATCTGTTAGGAGTGTGAAGTTTTAAAAGATAATTATGTTTTGGACTAATTCTTTAATTCAAGTTGAAATAATGCAGTGTAGACAGTCATATGACCTGCTTTGACCTCTACCTGACAACAAGCCTATGTTACTTGTTTACCATGAAGAAGGAGGGCTTGGGTCAGGGGTTATTGACCTGTACACTGAAACAAAAGCAAGAGCAGCTGTTTGTCTAGGACAGATTCTCCATTTCTAGGTTTTTTTTTGGTCAGGAAGAGAGAGGGAGAGGTTTCACAGAAACAAAAGATTAAATCTGGTATGGTCAGCAGAGAGAAGAAAGCTACATGTTTTTAGTGAGCTACCAGGCAGAACTGAGGAGAAAGGACTGTAGGAGTTCAAATTTCCAGAGTTGAGTTGATTGCTGGCAGTGAGTTCAGGAATTCTTCACAAACTGAGGGAGATATATTTAAACAGGATGTTCTCTTCCACCCCCATTGCAGTCTCCCTCTCTCCCTTGCAGCTAATAGCATCCCTGTTTCACTTTATTGTGGCTTCCCCAGCACATCCTAGCCCTATGCCTATCCTTTAGCCCACTTACAGGCACCAACCCCAGCTTCCCCTAGCCTCCCTTGGTATATGTCCATGCCCTCTAACTCCCAGACCTCTGCAGTCCACCTCTCCACAGATCCTCAAACTTGGCATCCTCTGCTTCCTGGCAACTCATTCACTGCTGGCACTTACTTTCCTAGCTGTTTACAACTCCTCCAATCACAGGCTAGATCCTGTCCCATGTCTGTAGCTGATAGGCTTACTTGTGAACCCATGAGCAACAAGAATTACAGAGACCCAGTCTGTGATTGGAGGAACACCTTCTTGTCAATTCTCTCCATTCTGTTCACTGCTTGTCCCCATAAGTAAATTTAGCTGGGCAGTTTGGGATTTTGGTACAGACTAATCTACCGTCCCTGTATATTTTGAGTATTTTTTTGAATCCATTTGAAGCTGCTTTTTTAATTTGAGGACTGGAATCCTGTGGAAAATGTGCTATTATGTGCATAACCAGAGAAAAGTACGAGGGAAACTATTGGGGCCTGGACCTGATGGGTTGCATCCTGGGATACTGAAGGAAGTAGCTCCTGAGATAGTAGAGGCACTGCTAGTAATCATTGAATCTCTACACTGCAGAAAGAGGCCATTCAGTCTATTGAGTCCCTTAAGAACATCCCACCCAGACCCAGTCCCGCACATCATCCCCATAACCCTGCATTCACTATGGCCAACCTACCTAGCCTACATATTCTCCCCGTATCTGCCTGGATTTTCTCCGGGTGCTCCGGTTTCCTCCCACAATCCAAAGATGTGCAGGTTAGATGGATTGGCCGTGCTAAATTACCCCGTAATGTTCAGGGATGTGTAGATGAGATGGGTTATAGGGGGATGGGTCTGGGTGTGATGCTCTGAGAGTTGATGTGGACTTGTTGGCCGAAGGGCCTGTTTCCACACTGTAGGATTCTATGATTCCTAGACATTATGTTGGAATTTCACATGGTCAATCCACCTAACCTGCACATCTTTTGACTGTGGAAGGAGCATCCATTGGAAACCCACACAGACACGGGAAGAACATGCAAACTCCACGCAGTCCCCTAAAGCTGGAAGTGAACCCAGATCCCTGGCACTGAAAGGCAGCAGTGATAACCACTGAGCCACCATGCTCATCAAGATCTTCCAAGAATCCTTTGTTAATAGGGCAGTTAGATGTAATATATTTGGATTTCTAAAAGGCACGTGATAAGATACAACATGTAAAGCTACTTAAGAGCCCATGGTGTTGGGGGGTAGTATTTTTGCATGGAAGGCTAATAGAAGATCGAGAATTAGAATCGGGGACATTTTCAGGATGGTAACCTGTAACTAAAGGAATACCTAACTAAAGGAAGTTAGGGCTACAGTTATTTACAGTATATATTAATGACTTGGATGAGGAAAGTTAGTATACTATCCCGAAGTTTGTGAATGACACCAAAACTAGGTGGGGAGGAAAATGGTGAGGATGACAGAGCCTGCCAGAAGATATAGACAGGTTAAGTGAGTGTGCAAACCTTGGCAGATGGAATATAATGTGGAAAACTGAGGTCATTGTACTCTGGCAGGTAGAATCGAGGAGCTGAATATTATTTAAATGACAAAAGCTGCAGTACCATGGAATTTGGGGGCCCTCGTGTATGAATCAGAAAAAGTGAGCATCAAAGCTGAGCAGGTAATAGGGAATGCAACTAGAATATTGGATTTTATTTCAAAGGGAATGCAGTGTAATAAAACCAGGGAATAAAAACAGAATGAGCTGCAGAAACTCAGCAGGTCTAGCAACATCAGTGGAGAGTGAATCACAGTTAAATTTTTGAGTTGGATATTGCTCTTCAGAATTTAGAGGTTGGAAATTTGTGTTTTTTTTTGTTGTAAGATGGGGAGGAGGAGCAAGTGGAACAGATTCTAAGGGTGCTCATACCCAAGGATAAAGCAATTGCCCATTTCTGAAGAAGGGTCCCGACCTGAAACATCAAATTCCCTGTGCCTCTGATGCTGCCTGGCCTGCTGTGTTTCTCCAGCTCCACACTGTTGTCATATCTGCTAAAGATAGTGGATGGACAAGAGAGAGATATTAAAAATGTAAAAAAATGAACGTGTGAAAAGGAGCTGTGTGTTTGGGGTTGGGAAATAGATTAGGTGGAGGGTGGTTTGGTTGTAAGAAAAATAGAGACGGATCATGCTCTGAAGTTTTGGAATTCGGTATTGAGGCAGTATGATGCCTAAGTAGAGAATGAGATATTGTTCCATTAGCTTGTGTCACTTTCGTGCTTTTATCTATGAAGTAGGGAAGCCTCCCTAAAACTACAGAAGGTACTAGTTAAACCACATCTAAGATATTATGAACAGCTCGGTCCCCTTATCCAAAAAAATAACTAGATTGTGCAGTCAGATTTTTGCTTTCATTTTATTACAGTTAAACTTAAACCATTCTCTTTTTTTTTGTTTAGCAAATAATGAACGTCCAAAGACGGCTTGTGAGCAACTTCATGACAGAATGCAAGCAGAGTTGAGATTGCGTGGTTCTTTTGTTGGAGCCCATGTCCCTCAGTGTGATGAGGAGGGGAACTTCAGGCCTCTGCAATGCCATGGCAGTACAGGCCACTGCTGGTGTGTGGATGAAAGGGGACAGGAAATTCGTGGGACAAGGACACAACCTGGAGCTGGTCAACCACAGTGTGGACAGCCAGGTCAGTCAGTTTTTGAGTTCAGAAAAATGATCACATTGTAGCAAAAATAGAAAAAAAGGAATCTTGGCATTTTCCATGAGCTGAGGACATTAAAGTCCTTTACAGTATAATGAATGTTGGAAGTGTAGTCACTATTATAATATGGGAAACATATATTTGCAAGACCACACAAAAACAGCAATATGATAGTGTCTCAACAACCTGTCTTTAGGTGATTACTGCTGATAAATACAGCTTAGAATTTCTTTGCTGTTCTTCAAAATAGTTCTATAGGATCTTTTACATGTACCCAAGAGGTAAGATAGAATCTTAGTGATCTGAAAAACAATACCATTGACTGTCAAATAATCTGTTAGTGCTGTACTGAAGTGTTTATCTTGCATTTGTTCCTAAATTTTTGGAGAAGGGGAGGGGTGGCGTGAACCCACAACCTCTTAATCTCCGAGGCATTGAATTATAGCTTACAGCTAACTGTAATGCAACTGACCAGTGTTGCTGGGAAATTTCAGGAAAGCTAAAGGCATTAAGGATTCATTATCTCCATGACAATGAATTGCCTGTTATTGTCATTTTGGGCAACTTTGAGCATGGAAGTGGATTGAACATCAGAGACCAAATTTCAGCTGCTCAGCTACATTGGATGGGAGGCAAGTGGAGAGTGTCCATTGTCAACAGCCCAGTGGGAGCAGTCAGACATCTGAACCATTTTTATTGTTGGTCTTACTAACATTCTGTTGGCAAGATATGTCACTGGTCAATTAGAGGTGATGAGAGAGCTATTTAAGTTGAGGGAGGGCTTAGCATTGCTGGGGAAGGGAAAAATGTGGGTGATTTTATTAGGAATGTGTTGAAATGCATTCATGCTTCCCCAGATCCACCAAATTATTCTAAAACCTACAAGTCGTTGGCATTTAAGTGTTGGCTCGACCTCGTTAAAGCTATTTGGAAACTGATCAAATAAATTGGTCAAAACAGTGCATTTTCCCTGAAGGGTACAAATGTTGCCAGATACTAATACAATTTTAGAGTGTATAGACATTTAATGTATTAAATCATGCATGTTAAAATATTTTTAATATATAAATATATTCACATCAAACCTTTAAACATAATTTTTCTGCTATATAACTTTGGACCACCCCATGTCCTTTGATTTTTATTTTAAATCTACTAACAGAACACCATTGGATCTTTTATCATCCTTTGACAATAAAAATTAATAACATAGAATAATCGTAAGTGAATAAGAGGCTACTTTGGTGAGTGTAGCCATTTTATGCTCTCAAGCTTTATTGTGTGCCATATGGTGCATACTCTGAAGTATTGGAATTGAAAGATACCAAACATAATACTAAATGTTTGAATATTGCCCTTTATAGTTTTATCTGCAATATTTTTGAAGTCTGGCTTTAATTCTCATTTGATTAACACCAACTCAATAGGGAAAACTTGCTTGTGCAGAGCAGTGAGACCAAATACAAGCAGAGTGCAATCTGCACAGAGATTGACCTCCTATCGGAACACATTTCCCTCAGTGATACAACAAACAATTTCAGGCCTCTGCTGTGTCCTATCAATGATGATTGTCTAACAATCAGTTGCTTCTCAGAAATTGATTAACTTTGTGGATTTGTTTATTTAAAACTGTAAAACACAATACACTGCATATGTCATGAGATAGACACAATAGCAAACCAATTGATTGTATGTTGCATTGCTTATTAACTGGTGGGCAACATTCACAACATTGAATATACACAGTACATGGAGTCCTTTTAAAGGTGAACTGCCTTAAAGGAAAAGTATGCATCCCTCCTTTCCAAAACAGTTTAAGAATTTACAGTAATACACGGAGCATACAGCATACTATAATGTGTAGGTAATTTGCTGATACATCTAGATCTCATAATTATAAGATACCGTTGATTACCACAGCCATCAGTGATATTTTATGTCATTCCCGTTTTTGTTTTTGTTGCCAAGTTTTTCTTTCATGGGCTGCAGTTGCTTATCCTGAAGCACTACATCCATGTTTTACATGAGCTTAGCCAATGACTGATCCCATTCCTCAAAGTGTTTTAAGTGATTAAAATTTTCTTGGCATTTACTGTTCTTTTTTCCCTTGAGTTTCTAGCTAGTTTTGAAGCTTCTGGTTTTATAGACATTTTAAAAATAAATTCTATCAATGTTTTTAGCCTTTTCCAGAACATCCTAGTATGAATGTACTCCTTGTGTGTGGTCTGTTTAGGTTAGTGCATAACTCTTTGTTACTGAGTTAGCATTTGCTCTAGTTTGCACAGGCTTTGCCAATGGCCTATTTGGTTGATGCCTTGCAAAATTGATTAAAATCTGGGCCTTACCCTGGTGTGTACAGAAGGCATACCTTCAACATCTCTTGGTATATTTGGGTGTTCCGATTATTGTGTCAACAGTTGAATTTGTACTGAAGACCAATAAACATTGTCAACCTGTGAGGTTCACTTCATACCTACATCCATCCTTCAGTAGCTTCTCATTGGTACAAGTTTTTGCCTCATCTAAAAAAATCTTTCCAGAAAGCTTCCATGGGAGTGGATGTGATTGCTGACTCAATAATTCTTTTTGCTAGCTTCCTATCTGAAAAATCACAATGAGTCCGTGGATTCTGATAGCGTCTGTCTGAATAATATGAAATCTAGTCCAGGAACAAACTTAATCTGACTCCGAGTTGGTCTGCTAATGCGGTCCATATCTTTGAGGATATCTTAGCTCTCAATGTGATCCTGACAGCTCTGTCTGTCTAGTCTCCGTTACCAATTGCTAAGCAAATCTTAGTAGCTCATAGCTTTGCCTCAGCCACATCCAAATCAAGAACCATACCTCTGGACACAGTGAAAAATTTTAAATTCTATTAGGAAATCTGCTTTGTCTCAATTTAAATTAGGACATTCTGAAAAGTTGACTTGGATTTTTCCCTTGCTTGCTATCGATCCAGTATGCACCCTGATTGCTTGCCTCTTTCAAATGAGTTAAACTGTCCTTTCCACAGGGATTTGTGTGCTTACCAGCAACTTGTGTTTTCAACATTGTTCAAACATGACGGCTCTCATCTGCATGATCGTTTCCACTGCCGTCCCACCATGTCACATTAGTGAAATTGGTCTAATCATGAATTGGCATGAGGGATTAATTAATGCTGTGGGTTGATTTTATTTAAAACAGTAAGACATATTACATATGTTAGAGCAGACACTGTGTGCAGTGTCAACTACGTGGTTGTGCCATGGTTGTTCTTTGTGCCACGTCTAACTCCAGCAGTGAAAAATTTTCCCTTGATTCACATTCGCTCAGGTTTTGATAGGGCTTCTTGCTACCTTGTTATCAGGGGAAGTCACACTTAATTTACCTCTGGAATTCAATTCTTTTGTCCATGTTGACCCAAGGCTGTAATGAGGTCAGGAGCTGAGTGGCCCTGGTGGAACCCAAACTGGGCATCACTGAGCAGGTTATTGTTGAGCAGGAGCTGCTTGATAGCTGCTTGATACTGATGATCGAGAGTAGACTGATAGAGTGGTAATTGGCTGGGTTAGATTTTTTTCTGTTGTTTATATACAAGATGTACCTGGGCAATTTTCCACATTGTTGGGTAGATGCTAGCATTGTAGCTACACAGGAACAGCTTGACTAGAGGTGCAGTACTATTTGCCATACTATTACCAAAATGTTGTCAGGGCCCATAGGCTTTGTAGTATCGAGTGCCTCCAGCTATTTATTGGTATTACATAAAGTTAATTGAATTGGCTGAAGACTGGCATTGTGTGATGCTGGGGACCTCCAGAGGGGGCCAAGATGGCCTGTGCTTTAAACCTGCCCTTTTTATCATTCTATCCTATTGCAGAGTAGCCCATGTCTTCATAAAGTTATCAATAATTTAATCTCACATTTTGAATATTGTTCTTCATCAGTTAAAATTATTTTTTCTTGTTTAGTATTTAACATTTGAAATTCGCATGTCTTGGCACAATTACCATTTTCATAATATTTTTAAATTACAGTTGATCCTCTGCTACCTCCTTTGTAATTTCCTTCTGTATTTTGTGATATATATATCATTTGGGCTTGATCTGATTTTCTATTTTTAGACAACTTTAACTTTTCTTAAGTGCGGCTTCTTTTTGAATTTTTTTTAGTCTAGTGATGATTATTCCACATCCTCCCCCTTCGGAACTCTAAAAGAGCCTCTTCCACATATGTCTGTAAGACTGAGGAGAAATACTTAGTTAGCTACTCTATCATTTGTTCAGATTCAGTACAAAAAGACCTTTATCACCATCTAGTCTTTTTAACTATCCCTTCGTGTGTGTTTACAAAGTCCTTGGTGTTGCTTTCTTTAACTTTAGTTTTTACATTCCTTCTATAATGTTTATGTATCTCAGTTTGGTTATATATTCTCTAACTGCTGTGAATGTGTCTGTTTTTTAATTTTTTTTGCTCAAATCTGTTTATCCCTGGAACCCAGCTATTGATGCACGTCTTTTACACCTTTTTTGAATTTAATTAAATCTATCTGAAATATAATAACTCTACTATTTGGTCTGTTGTTAAATCTGTATTGTTTTAAATCTATTATTTTGGGCTAGATCACTTTTTGCACTCTATTCATAAAATTGAATCACGATCAGACAATACTCCAACAATTTCATTCAACAGAAGAAAATTCTACACTTTAACTGCACTGTATTGATCCATTTCAGAACCCACACAGCGCCAACCAACAGTGTGTGAACGGTGGAGACTGAGTCTTCTGGAACATTATGGTGGCAGACCAGCTAATGATCAATATATTCCTGAATGTGATGAGTCTGGGGATTTTAGCCCCCTGCAATGCCATGGAAACAGTGGTTACTGTTGGTGTGTGGATAAAGAGGGTCGAGAAATTCAAGGAACTAGAACTGAACACGGCAGTCCACCAGCATGTGAGAACTTCCATCTTGACTTTGTTTGTAAAGTGAAAATTAAAGATCTTTTTAAGGTAGAGGAAAGGAATAATGAAAATGTGATGTTGGTAAAAATAATTCACATCTAATTTCTAAAATGAGAAGTTCAAATCATTAGGGACACTCGGAAAGAAACAGCTATCATTGCATTGGTAACACAGTGTGGAACTGGACGAACACAGTAGGCCATGCAGCATCAGAGGAGCAGGAAAATTGACGTTTTGGGTCAGGACTCTTCTTCAGAAATGGGGAGAGGGAAAGGAGCTCAGAAATAAATAGAAGGTGGGATGGTGATAGGTGAGTACAGGTAGGGAGTGCTGGGGATTGGTCTGTGGGATGGGTGGGGTGGATAGCTGGAAAAGATGGGAAAGATGAACAGGTTGTGTCAGGTCAAGGAGGCAGGGATGAGAGGGAGGGTTGGTCACGGGATGAGGCCAGGGGTGGGGAGATTTCAAAACTGGTGAAATCCATGTTTAGGCCATCGGGCTGTAAGCTCCAGAGATTGAATATGAGGTGCTGCTCCTCCAGTTTGCGGGTGGCATCATTGTGACACTAGACGAGGCCCAGGGTGGACAGGTCACCCAGGCAGTGGAAAGGGGAGTTAAAATGGTTCACGACCGGAAGGGGTTATTTGTTGCAAACAGGGCACAGATACTCTACAGAATGGTCTCCGAGTCTCCGCTTGGTCTCACCGATGTGCAGGAGGCCACGTTGATGGATGTGCAGGTGAACCTCTGTCTGATGTGGAAGGTTAGTTTTGTGCCTTGAATGGAGATGAGGGGGAAAAGTGTAGAGGCAGGTGTAGCACTTCCTGCAGTTGCAGGGAAAGATGCCAGGGATGGTGGGGTTAGTGGGGAGCGTGGAGCTTGGAGCGGACGAGGGAGTCGTGGAGAGAGCGGTCCCTACAAAAGGCAGATAGGGATGGGGTCAGAGCTCTTTACATTACTGAAGTGCTTCAAAGTACTCTTTTAAAAATTTCTACCACTATTGATAATATACTGAAACACATCAGTCAACTTGTGCACATCAAGATCCCACCAAGGCGAATCTGTTTTATTAATTTTTGTTGAAATACATATTGGGCAGGTGACTGGGGAAAACTCCTCCACCTTTCTTTGAGTGGTGCCTGAAGATCTTTGATATCCAAAACACTCCACCTTGATTTATAGACTCCAAAATATAATTTAGAACTTCTTTGGTACTCGAGCATCAGCCTGTGTATTGTGTACTGTGTACAATTCAGAGGCAGGAGTACTACAAATTCAGGCAAGGTTGAACCATGCAGTATTATAGATAGCAACAGTATAAAGTCACAATTTGTATAGGTTAATCAGAACTGTTCTTGCTAATTGCCTCTTATTGACACACCGCATTGTAATCATCATAATTTTATGAAGATTTGAATTCATTCTAGTGTTTTATGATGTTTTTTCTATTGAATTTTTCCAGGTATACCAACGGTTGCACCTCCCATTACACAACCTTCTCCAGCACCTGTTGTGACTCCACCAAGCACGGGTACCTTCCTTTTATATGCTCAGGGACAGCACATTGGGTACCTGCCCCTGAACGGTACTCAGCTAAACAAAGAGGGAGCCAAGAGCCTATTAGCTCTTCATGTAAAGTACCTATTTTTATTAGTTTCTCCATTGAAATAGCTGCAGACAATTTTAGCATTTACGAAAGGAAAACGTCAGGTTGCTTTCATATTTTAGTAAATGTAAACAGGTCGTCATTAAATTGCATCCATGCATATAAATCAAATGCTGGTACTAATATTACCATGCAAATGATTTGAATTGAAGTATAGCAGCAAGTATACTACAGTAGCTACAAGTGAGAAGATTGAACACATGTTTACTGTCAAGTTTAAAGAAAGACTTGCATTTATAAAGTGCCTTCCACGATCTCAGGAATTTTACAGGATTCCTAGTATTTTACTACTAATTAAATTACTTTTGATAAGTAGTCATGGTTGGAATACAGCAAAGTTGTCTCATGTTACAATTTGTTGACAGCAATTAATTTTAGCCCATGGAGCCGGTGTTGAGCAATGGACACTGATGCTCCTCAGTGCTGCACCACCAGCTGTGCCCATACCAATCACAGCTCAGGTCCAAGCCTTTGTTCCCAATCTGGGAAACAGCCATCAGAATTGCCAGGACTGAAGGCGCATCTGCTCACGTTGATCTGTTCAACCAGAGAAGCACCTTGCAACTTGGCATCAAGAATGCTGAGGGACAAATGAGTCAAACAGAAACATCTTTACTACAGGAGTCATTCTGCCACTTAAAAAGGTACATTGCTGCATTTGAATTGATCACCTGAATCCAGCAAAGGTTTAGGGCCTTCCAATGAACTCATTCTGATCTCAACTGGCATGTTCCACCGGGCCTTTGAAAGGAGAAATTTCCTAAGTATGTCTAAACCTTAATCCCATAATGCCTTGTCATTTATCCACCCCACCACTGCCACTAGAACCCCTGTTAACTCCCCAGTAAGTTAAATTTAACCAAGTTCCAGTGGAACTAGTATTCTTTCATTTTCCAGATGGCCCTCTGATAAGTCAGAGTTTTGCCCTCTTTTGACCCTTTGGGTTGTGACTTTTGACAGTTATAAATCAGATCACACTTGATCTGGTTTCACTTAGGCCTTCTGTACACTTTGTCCAGACATAAAAACTAACTAAGGAACGAAGGGAATGGTCATCAGCGTTCTGCTGAAGTAAATTAATCTTGCTTCTTACTGCTGATATATGCAAGCAAGACAGAAGCAGAAATTGAGTTCTGTTATTTACACCTGCCACTGCTTTTCTGTGATCAAGCACATTATTTAAAAATGTCACTTAACTATTCCAATTTGATCATGATTTCCTAATTGACAGTAATGTCATATTCTGTACATCAACTTAGAACATTATAAAAAGTAACTCAAGTTCTGCTACCACATCTATGCAGAATATTGTTTTGAGAGTAGTTTTGTTTCCATTACTTAGTTTGTCTTTCTAGAATTGTCACAATGTTTATGCATCAGCTATTTTGCACTGATTAACAAATAACAGAAGATATTAACTTAACAAGCTGGCTTGTTCTCGTTTAGACGTTTCATCACCATGCTAGGTGACATCATCAGTGGAGCCTCCGATGAAGCAATGTTATTCTACTCTGCTTGGAATTTATACTGTCTGGTCCATTATGGTGAATACCGTCATTTCTGGTTTTGATCTGTATGGGTTTGTATACGGGGTCTAATTCTCTATATTTGATTGCATTATGGGTGGAAAACCATGCCCATAGGAATTCCCATGCGTGTCTATGTTTAGCTTTGGCTACTATGGTTACCCTATCCCAGTTAAATTGATGGCCTTCATTGTCTAAATGTACCGATTTTAAAGAGAGCTCATTCTGCTGTTTTGCTGCTAGTTGATGTTCATGTATTCTGATGGCTAGATTCCTTCTGGTCTGTCCAATGTAATGTTTGTGGCAGTCGTTGTATGGTATTTTGTAAACCACGTTCATTCTACATATTGTGGGAATGGGGTCTTTAATCCTTGTAAGTGTTTGTCGTAGAGTGGCTGTGGGCTTGTGGGTCACCATTATTCCTAGTGATCTTAGGAGTCTTGTCAGTTCCAGTATGTAGGGCAGTGTGGCCAGTGTGTTAGGGTGTGCTGCATCCTCCTGTTGTTGTCTGTTTAGTCGGCATCTGCGGATGAAGTTGTGAGGATATCTGTTTATAGGCAAGGATTTTGTATAGGTGCGCTTCCTCTTTCCTGCCTAGTTCCGGAGTGTTGTAGTGTGTCCTGGCCCAGCTTTGTTTGTCGACATTGGGTTGCTTGCTGTGGAAATTGAGGATTTGATCAGTAGAGGTTGTTTTTCTGTATACTGAGGTTTGGAACTCCCTGTTGATCATAGGCTCAACTTTAACATCCAGAAACGGAAGTTGATTCTTGTTTTCTTCTTCCCTTATGAATTTAATCCCTGTGAATACGCTGTTGATGAGTTGGCGGGTCTCTTCTAATTTGTGTTTAATAATGACAAATGTGTTGTCTACATATCAGATCCACAGTTAATGCAGGGGAGGGTGGTGTGTTCTAGTCTTTGCATGACTGCTTCTGCGATGAGTCCTGAGATGGGTGACCCCATTGGTGTACCGTTGATCTGTTTGTATACTTGACCATTAAAGACGAAGTATGTGGTGAGGCAGAGGTCTAGTAGTTTAAGTATGTTGTCATGGCTGATAGAGCTGCTGGTCTGTGTTGCTGCTTCCTCTAGTCACGTGGCCACTGTTTCTTTGGCTAGTGGGACGTCGATGTGATGTGAATAAAGCTGTGACGTCAAAGGATACCATAATCCCATCAATCGCTGATTTTTATGTTCTTGAGGGTATCGAGGAAATCTTGGGTTGAGCGAATGGAATGGGGCGATTCGTTAACTAGGTGTTTCAATCTCTGTTGTAGATCCTTGTCCAGTTTGTGTGAAGGTGTGCCTGGTAGGGAAACAATGGGTCTGAGGGGGATGTCTGGTTTAACTGGGACAAGGTAACCATTATAGCCCAAGCCAAACATAGACATGCATAGGAATTCATAGAGGCATGGTTCTCCACCTGTAATGCAATCAACAAACATGTAGGATTGGACCCCATATACAAACCCATACAGATCAAAACCGGAAATGACACTACTCACCATAACAGACCAGACAGTATAAATTCCAAGCGGAGTAGAATAACATCACTTCATCGGAGGCTCTGCTGATGTCATCACCTGGCATGGTGACGAAATGTCTGAACGAGAACATGCCAGCTCGGCGAGCAAGTCAACAACCTCACCCACAACCCAAGCTACCGATCTTTGCCAAAACTTTAATTAACTTTATAAATTGTGGTCTGTTTTTCCAGTAAGGTAATATGAGTGAACTGAAGTTCATATTTGAGTTTCTCTAATTGTTATACAGGTTTGTAAGGTTTTTCCAAAATGTTGTTTAGCAGACGATTAACTTTTCTTTGGTTTATTTTTCTCTAAGGGTTCAATTGTCATTGGTATTGATTATGACTGCAGGGATAAGATGGTTTACTGGACTGATGTTTCTGGCCGAACTATTAATCGTGCTAGTTTGGAACCAGGTGCTGAGCCAGAAACCATCATTAATTCGGGTGAGTTCTTATTAATAGAGGTCCTAAAAATTTATTGTGTTTTTACAAGTAGACAAACATTATGAAAAGAAAATTACCTGGTGTAAACTTAAAATTTTATAATTATAATGCAATTTTGAATAGACAAATGTTAACAAGCATTCTTAAGGCCTTGTGGTCTCTCCAATCATGGGGTTATAGAGGCTCTTAAGTGGCCACAATGGCGTCTTCCCACTCCTACTACAATTTCATCCATGTCCAGCAGAGACTAGCATCAAGCAGGAAGCCTAGCAACTTTCACTATCAGCTGGTGGTCGGTGTAGACAGGTTACCTCCTTTAGTGTTCTTCAGGCCCATCGAGGCCCTGCTCAACATCAAAGTCTTCACAAGACCTCCTATACTATCAATAACACCAAGCTCACCCACCTATCCAATCAGCTCCAGCAGTGATTTGTGTTAGGGACTAAGTGCTTCTTGTGGTGCTCCTGAGAATGACTGGCAGCTGCTGGGATATTCCAGTCCCACTCCCCAGATGAGTGGCAAAAATCTTACCTCAAGCCATTAGTGTCCAATGAACATTAAATGGCTGTAGTGCAACATGCCAGAGTATGGGAGAACCCACCACAGTATAAAATCCAACTCATAACTGCAGTTATACTGCCCAATTACTGTAGTAAATTATCAGATGGACACTGAATAATCTGTATCGCCACTTTTGTGTTTCTGCTCTAACTCTTTAGACCTGATTAGTCCTGAAGGACTAACCATAGACTACCTCCATAGAAACATGTTTTGGACTGACAGTGGATTGGATAAGATAGAAGTTGCTAAAATGGATGGATCTGAACGACGAGTTCTTGTTGATACTGATCTGGTAAATCCCAGAGCAATTGCAGTGGACTCCCTTAATGGGTAGGTAGCATATGAAGATTATATCAAACATTTACAACTTCAGAATTTTCTAGAATAACAATTTTTAAATATCTGACATGCTTTCTTTTCAATTAAACATACATCGCTCATGCAGACAACATGATTTTACATAGCTTTTACAAGTCATAAACCAAACAATGGGGTTTTTCCAAAATGCTAACATCTGACAACCATCTGTATTAGATGTTATGGCAGCATGTTCCCCAGATGTTGGCACCACACTATACTGTACACCTAAAATACTTGTACTGAATGGAGGGAATTTAAAAATTAAACCTGGGACTAGCAAATGTTTCCTTTAAGATAGCCTCAACTAGGACAATGGTTTATTTTGTAAATGGTTTATGACAGGCTCCCATTGCCTTTAGATTAGATACACAGCCTTGTTTATATTAATTCTGGTTGTCTTCTGCTTTCCCTTCAGCAACCTTTACTGGACAGACTGGAATCGTGAAGCTCCTAAAATTGAGACTTCTCGTGTAGATGGAACTAACAGAAGGGTGTTGGTTAAAAACGACATTGGATTGCCCAATGGGCTGACATTTGACCCTTTCTCCTTGCAACTATGTTGGGCTGATGCTGGTATGTTTCACAGGCTAAGCATACTTTATTCAAGGAAACATTTTAAAAGATCAAGTTAGTTGGCATTAAAGCTAAAGAATAAAACAAAATGAAGGCAAAAACAGAAGTTGCTGGAAAAGCTCAGCAGGTCTGGTAGCATCTCTGAAGAAAAAATCAGAGTTAACGTTTCAGGTCCAGTGACCCTTACTCCGAACTGCTGAAGGCATACACTAATGAAATTGGAGCAGCATGGTGGCTCAGTGGTTAGCACTGCTGCCTCACAGCACCAGGGACCCGGGTTCGATTCCACCCTCGGGCGACTGTCTGTGTGGAGTTTGCACATTCTCCCTGTGCCTGCGAGGGTTTCCTCCCACAATTCAAAGATGTGCAGGCTAGGTGGATTGGCCATACTAAGTGGATTAGCCATATTAATTTGCCCGTGGTGTTCAGGGATGTGTAGATGAGGGGGGATGGGTCTGGGTGGGATGCTCAGAGTTGGTGTGGACTTGTTGGGCCAAAGGGCCTGTTTCCACACTGTAGGGATTATATAATTGAGAATTTCCCGTTGAATACTAATGATCTTTCTTCTTGCTTTCATTGATGACTGGGACAAAAAGGAACCAAAGATCTAGAGTGCATATTTTCCGATGGTACAGGAAGACATGTGGTGCAACGTGGTCTAAACTATCCCTTTAGTATTGTTGCCTATGCAAATCACTTCTACTACACAGATTGGAGAAGGTAAGAGCAAAGTTTAAGGGAACTGTTAAGTGTAACTATGGCCTACATTTCGCAGCCTAACTGAGTATGGGGAATAATCAAGTTCATTAGGTGGCTAACCACCACCCATAGCTGACCTATTCCCATAATAAACTAGGGTGAGCAAGATATCAAAATTGGCAGCCTGCCTGCCCTATTCAAATGAATAATCAAAGGTCAACAGACTTTTTAGCAAGCTTATTGACCAGAAAAATACACCACCCACACCATAATATGACTGACATAGGCAGGCCATTTTTTTTTCCCTTGAGCAGCCTAGATGGGAAAAGGCTTGAAGGAAAGGTTGTCCCTCATTTGGTGGATACTCTTTATGCATTAGGGGAGGCTCCCCTGAGATGTGACCCCCACCCCTTCCTAGATACATACCTTCCAAAACCCAGCGCCTTACTAGCCTCGCTGGGGCACTCAGATCCCTCTCCACCCTAAAAGCCCTGAATAATTTCTGTGGTAGCCATCACAGAATCCATCCCATTTAGAGGTGGTGATGGTTGAGTGGTATTATTGCTAGACGTTAATCCAGAGACCGAGATAATGTTCTGGGGACTAGGTTTAAATCACACCACAGCAGATGGTGGAATTCGAATTCAATAAAAATCTGGAATTATGAGTCTAATGATGACCATGAATCCATTGCCAGTTGTTGGGGGAAAACCCATCTGGTTCACTAATGTCCTTTTGGGAAGGAAACTGCCATCCTTACCTGATCTGCCCTACATGTGTCTCCAGACCTACAGCAATGTGGTTGACTCAACTGCCCTCTGGGCAGTTAGTGATGGGCAATGAATGCTGCCTAGCCAGCGACACCCTCATCCCATGAATGAATAAAGAAACAAAAACTCTCCTTTGTGTTACTTTGTGACAGTCAAAGCTTCTTGTTGTCATACCTCAAATCTCCAGGTGCTGCTTCCAGTGCTGGAGAACTGCTCAGGCGAGTAATACAACAGCATAGCCCTGGGAGAACAGAGAGCCTAGGATAGTGCAGGACAGAGATGTGGAGTAGGATAGGGAAGCTAGAAGCCACAGCAATGTAATAATGGGGGATAGTGCTTTTTAAGGACCAAAACAAAATAAATAGAAACAGGGAATGTTATACATAACAAATATGATAGCAACTTCAAGCAAAAATCTATTGAGTAGTTCAGTGGGGCAAAGGTTGACATGTTGGAAGCCCTTAAGTAAACCGAGACCAGTTCTGCTATCCACAACTGTCTTTTCTCCTTCCTAGTTGCTCCAAACATTGAACCAGAAGTGCTGATTCTATTTCTTTCTTTTCAGAGATGGAATTATTGTTGTATCCAAAGATAATAACCAAATTACCGACGAATACCTACCTAATCAGCGATCACATCTGTACGGCATAACTGTGGCCTACCCTCGTTGTCCGCATGGTAAGAGGATATGAAATTGAAAGATTCTTACCAAGGAATAGCAATTCTAAATTGAAAAGAAGTGTATGCTTTGTGATATTATTCTCCCTTGAAGCACTGTGTTCTAAAGCAATTCCCATAGCTCAAAGATGTCTTAAAAAGTTGCAGCCGCTTTCTACTGCTATTGCATGTTTAAAGATCTGTTGGTGCAGATCACATATTAACATTCTTTGATTTACTCCAGCCTCTTATACTCAAGATCCAAGAATTTTAAAATTTAAAAAAAACTTTAACCTTAATGTATTTAAGGGCTCTTCAGTTTTGCTCGTAACAACACTACCTGAATTAGAATTTGAGTATAGTTTATGCAAGGTGTTTTCAAAGCTGGTCTTTAATGATCTAATAACCTGATAGAACACATTAGTAGAAGTTCATGGATTCAAACCTCACGGTCCCAATGAAGACACAATACAGCCAAACACATCAGTGCAGTACAGAAGGAATACTTATTGCAGAATAAGGATATAAAGCAAGATGCTACTGCTTGCTCAAATGAATCTAAAATATTTCATGGAATTATTCAAAAGAACAGAGAGGGAGTTCTGGTGTCCCAACCAACTGCACAACTACAAGCTGAATTTTTCAAATGTAGTTTTTAGCAATAAGTATTGATAGGAGTGGTTTACAGCCCACTAATCAGTAGTGGTAATGTACGGCATGATCTAATTCAGAAAATTAGAGGTGCAAGTAAGGGGAATGCAATAATCATGAGACACTTCAATCTACTTATAGTTTGGTGCTTAGTAAATTGACCCAATGTTGTGTAGGTAAAATTCTTGGAATATATGTGTGTTTTCTGCAACCATATGTTCAGAAACCAACTAGGGCCCTGGCTGTTTTTGATCTACTGTTATCCATTGAGAAATGGCTATTGTGTGTAAAATACCCTTTAGGAAATAATTAGCATGATAGAATGTTCCATTAAGTTTGAAAAAGATGTATTTCAATCTGAAACTAGGGTTTTAAATCTAAAGGAGGTTAATTATAAAGGTATGAGGAGGAACTTAGTTCTGGTCGAAATCAAAAAATGCATGTGCAAAAGCTAGTACTTAAAGAATTAATGCTTGTTTTTCAAAAGAAAAAGTACATTCCTTTAAGGCAACAAGTACCCAAAAGGAAAAGTGAGAGAATCCCAGCTGACAAAAGAAGTTAGAGAGCACTCTATAAGCCTAGGAGACAGTAAGGTCTGCAGATGCTGGAAGTCAGAGTCAATAAACATAAAGCTGGACAAACACAGCAGGTCAGACAGCATCAGAGGAGCGGGAAAGTCAATGTTTCGGGCCCAAACCCTTTTATGAGCCTTGTCCTTTGATCAGGTGGTCAAAAAAAAGTGTAAGTGTGAGGATTGGGAGAACTTTAGAATTCAGCAAAAGAGGACCAAGAAATTGATAGAGAAAACAGAATAAAATAGCAAGAAACCTAAACAGGTTGTAAAAGCCTTCATACTTATGTAAAAATTAAAAGATTAGCCAAGACAATAGACAGTGAGGAGAATTTAGAATAGGAAGAGGAGAAATAATGGAGAAGCAAACTCAGTACTTTGTCTTCTCAGATGAAAACCTAAAAAATCACCCTGAAATAATTAAGATCTAAGGGTCTGGTGAGAACGTGGAGCTGAAAGAAATTAGTAATAGTAAAAATGTAGTATTGGAAAGTTTTTTGGGACTAAAAGTTGATAAATCCCCACAATGCCATGACCTTCATCTTAGTGTTGAAAGAGATGACCACCAGGATAGTGGATGCGATGGTGACTGTCTTTCAAAATGCTATTAACTCTACACGGATGCATGCAGATTTCAAGGTTGCAAATGCAACCCCACTGTTTAAGAGAAGACGGTGGGTAACCGAAAGCCAGGAACTACAGTTCTGTTAGATTTTAGTATTTTTCATACAACTAACATCAGGCTCTTAAAAGGATGATCAAAAAGACATTTTGGAAGTAATTGTTTGGGCAGATTCAACATGGATTTATATAGGGAAAACATGTTTGGCAAAATTATTTTTGAGGTTGTTACTAGCAGACTCAATAAAGGGGACCAATTGGATGTAGTAGATTTGGATTTTCAGAAGGTTTTTTGGTAAAGTCCCACGGGTGCAATTTAAACAAAATTAAAATGCATGTGATTGGAGGTGGAGAAAGTGGAATAGACTGAGGTTAACAAAAGCAGAGAGTAGGAATTAATGGGTCTTTCTCAAATTAACACAGTGATTAATGGAGTAGAACAAAGATCAGTGCTTGGACTCTAGCTTTTCACAATCTATGTCCATGCTTTGGATGTGGTGGGCAATTGTAATATTTTCAAGTTTACAGATGATACAAAACTTGTGTGATGACAATGCAGAGGCATCAGAAAATTTGGACAGACAATATAGGCAAGAGCATGGCATTCATATGGATGAGTGTGACATTAATACATGGTAGGAGGAATAAAAGTCCAGAATAATTCCTAAATGGAGAGATATACACATTGATTTACAAGCAGACCTAGGTGTCTCGGTTTAAAAAGCGTCTTGCCATTTACCCATATCCTTGTGTGACATCCTTTTTAAAATAATCATCCAACACCCTTTAATTCCTTAACTTCAACCCACCTATTTCATTTCATTTCTGCATCCATGTTCAAGCTATGGCCACTTTTCAACGACTTCACAATGAATTTCTCTATTCTCAGTCGGTAGAATTCTTAAGTAAAAGAAATATGGAATAACCAAATTCTTTAGCAGAATGAGTTTGATAACTAGCAAGGTAATATTCTCAAGAAAAACTGAACTATCAACTTAAATTCAACAAGACAGTTTGGTATATTTTAGCATCACCATTAGGAATATTTGCACACTATCATTAATTGACCTTTCTCTCCCCTCCTGGCAGGAAGAAAATAATGATTGTGCTGGTAATGACAACTGTATTTCAGCATATTACATCTGGAGGAAGAGGTGGTTTCTGTTGGAGCATGATGCTGCATGGATTGGTCTGTATTTTTTCTCCCATTGTTAGTGGGGACTGAAAATGTTACATAGTAACTACATTTTTTGGTAAGAGCTTCCGTACCTCATGACTTTGAAGAAAATATTACTGTGCTGCCTTTTGATTGCTATAGTGGACACAGTCACTGACTGGTATGAATACCTGGTCGCTTATTCTGAAATTTAAAGAACACAAGCATAAATATTCTGTGATGGATACATAAGTATACAATGCAGTGAAGAAAAAGCACAAACTATATTGCTGCAATAAAGTACTCCAGAGATGATTTAATGGGAGGTGGTACAAGGGCCCCCGATTTACAAACATCTAACTTACGAATGGTCATACTTACAAATGTGATCCCATACAAGGGTGCCATATGAACACTTCCTGTACTGACGAACAGTCACTTTACAATGTCCTGCAATGTGTTCTAATTTGCAAAGAAATCACCTTGCGAATGGACTCCAGAACAGAACCTGTTCACAATCTGGGGCCTGGCTGTATTCTTTTCTTAAAGGTTGACCAAATGTTTCAATTTCTTGCCCCATCATCCAAAAATTACTGCACTTATTTCAGAAGTATTTATCAGTCAGCTTCAAACAACTGTAAGCAATCACGACTTTCAGATTCTACACCTGAATGGGTGTCAAACTTAGCAAGATTCAGTTATTCAGTCAGGTATTGCTGTAATTGTTACCTTTGTCAAACAACATAGATACATATGATTCATCTATGAATCTACTTTAGTCCAACAAAATAAAACTAGTTCTTGTTAGACTGAAAATATTTCTTTAACCAAAACTCTTAACCACAGTGATGCTACAAGTTGTACCAAAGATTGATACATTAACATTTAATGTGGAACAAAGTATAGCAATACTGGTTTTCTTATTGTGTAACATCAGTAAAGCAACAACTGCTCAATATCACTTGTGACTAGCCTAACACATTTCAGGTCTATGAGACATATTACAGACAAAACGCAAACTGTCAGGTGGACATACTGAACTACTGCAGGCAATGAATAATGCCTGTAGTAAATTGTATTTGACCTGGGCTTATTTTCAAAAGCAATAAAAATTGCCAAACTATAAATTTAAAATCATTTTACAGCATGAATATTGTTAAAAAATAACAACTCAAAATTAAACTTTTTTTCTTAAAGTTGGCACACAGATGCATTTACACATTGACATACTGCACATTTCCCAACTACAGGCCTATTTAGTTAGTTCAATGCTGATCATACCATTGTGAGGTTTTGCCTCACGTAAATTTATTCTTCAAATTGTTCTGATGCAGTATTCCTGTAACAAGTAAATAATAGTCAATTATATAAAAGGTATCTAGCCATAGTGATGATGAGTTACTGTAACTAAGACTATGAGCCTTCCCAGCAGTTCTTAATTCTAAAGAATAGTTCACAAACTGGACTTCAGACAAGCAGCATTTTCAACAAGACCTGGGCACCAAATGAAGATGAATGTAGCAGGAAGAAATGCCTCCAAATAATCTAGTTTTTTTTTATTAAAAGGTACAGAATGATCAAGAGTTAGGAAATGATCATAGTATTTTGAAACAGGCATCCAAACTTTATCTTATAGATTAGGAAGAGTTGGGGTACAATATATCAATTATATATTTAATATTGCTTTTTTTAAAAAATCACAAATGCTATTAAAAATCCTAAATGGGGTGTGGGGAAGAGGTTGAAATTTAACAATAGTACCTGCTTTTAAAAAAAAAGTCTCACTTACTCCAGACACACTCTATAATGCGGAATTGATTCTTACTAATCACAAATCAGAATTCTAGATTTGACACTTTAACACAAAGGTATTCTGCCTAGTAATAACATTTTAAATGACTTGTGTCACCAAGAACAGTGCTCACCATTCATCACACTAAAGCTGTCCAGAATTTTAGTGGATTTTTGCACATTAATTTACAATTATGGCAGTGAAACCAACACAGCACCGTCTCCAAGAAATCCATACCTGTAAAAAGCAAGACAAGCAACACGTTGTCTCTCTAACGAATGAGGCATGAAATCCAAACTAGAATATTAAATTCACTGAACATTTTTCAGCTTATCTATTTGGCAAGCACTGCAACTTCTCACCTTTCATGTGTTTCATTAGAGTATGAGAGACGCAAGTGTTACAAAGCTATTGATTGCAAGGCAAATCAGATAGGAACTTCCTGATTTTGATGTTTTATTGCATATGTGAAGATACCAGAAGTTGCTCCCCCATTTACTCCATAATATTGGTTAGTATCGATAGCTTCAATTTTATATTGAGCCAGGAATTGGGAAGAAATGATATGGAGGAATATATATATCCTTTAAAGACTTTAGTTATGTTTTAAAATTGCAAACAATGTCTACTACAAACAATTTTAGCAAAATCTGACACTGATCTGCACTACTGATCCCATATTACAGTTATACAAAGTGCTTACTCCTAGTCTAATGCTATCAAATATTCTTAAAGCATGATTTTAAAAAAAACTGAAGCCACAAAAATGTTTAACCAGGATTTGGTAATTTAGTATAACACGTCTTCTCCCTTAAATTGTTGAATAAGAACTGGCAGACAAGTTTTAAAAAAAAAAAATCTAACCCTCCAATTATTTCATTAATTTAGCCACAATGCAGAGTTTGCCATTCCATCATGCCTTTCAAACACTAAACTACACATTTTAAAAATAATCCTGTTTTTATTTCTAAACTGCTTCTCCAGGTGGGGACAGCAAAACAGCTATTTCCATAACAGAATTTTCAATTGGTTCAATCTAGGATTCTCTACAGGCTACCATAGAAAACAGTATTTATTATTCAGCTTTTCCAATTATAATATTCACCAAAATATCTAAAAATGTTGATTAGCACTAGATAGTAAAACCACAAGACCATGAAAACATTTATTAAATGAACCTGCTCCCAAACTTGTTTTGAATGTTTCATTTTACATCACATTGTAGTGCTTTTCCATGCATTTTTTTTCTTGCACAGCATAATCTATAAATTTAACAACTTGAACAGTTTAATTTTGTACTTTTGCTATTTCCTATTGTGAAGCATGTACATTACCTGGAATGTGTTTAATTTGACAATACTCTTGTAACCATACTGTTGTAACTTTCTTCCAATTTAACAATAAAATTCAAGAAACAAATCTTGTAATTTCTCAAGTTTTATTATTTATTTCCACTTTAGTGAACAATTTGCCACTAATAAACTACTTGATCACCAGGACTCAAAAGTTATTTCCTTCTGTCAATTTCTTTATGAGTTTCAAAATACAGATTACAAAGTTCCAACTTCAATCTTTTAATCATCTTCCAACCTTTCCTAGCCTGTGATCAGTTTTGGGATCAGCTATTATTGACTGAACGGCTACAATAGCTTCATTAATCTTGGTCTGAAGATCTCGTAGTTCCTCTATATGCAGTAATCGGAGAACTCTTGCAGCCTCATTCAAGGTGGCATCTGTTAAAATCAATTCAATTTGTTATTTCGAAACTGGCAAATTCACTGTAACGGTTAGCAATGGAATCAAGCAATTTAAAAGTCAATTTAAACGACTGGAACAGATGTAATTGTCACAGAATGGTATCAAGTTGCTAACACAGAGCAAGGTAAACCAACTAGTTCTACGGTTTAACTTTCTCCTAGTATACGAACCTGACAATTAGAATCAGTTTCTTCAAAGAACAAATGCAGATGTATAATGTAAATGGCAGTAGATTTTGCACTGAATTAAACAAACTTATGGCCTGTAGCTACCTGAAGGCACTGAATGATAGTGTTGATAAACTGATATGACTATTATATATAAAGATATAATAGCCCTTGCTGCATTCTTCCATGTACACCAAGACTGATCCCAGATTGAAATCTAGCTTTTAACATGAGCTTACACTGAAACATAAGCATACAATTTTGCAGATTTGGTTTCAACAATTTATTACGCAAAAGAAATGAAGATAAAAGAAACCAAACTATTTACATAAATACACATTTAAAGCTTTCAAAACAGTATAAAATACAATCCCATTAATGCCCACAGTACTCTGAGAATTTCTTTCTCTATCCCACATATGGTTTGACTTAGCTATGGCTTCAATTCCTTGCCTCTTCTACAGCCTTCACACAACTGAGTTTAACCAAACTGGTCTGTACTGTTGCTAACTCCTTACAACGAAATAATCTATTTTTAACAATTCTAACTCATTTCTCTTTTTCAGGAGCAACTGCTTTTCACATGCAGCTTCAGCCATGACTCCTGCAGACTGCCTAAACTAAAACAAAAAAAATTTCCCCAAGCTACGGATGTTTCCTTAATCAATAGAGAAAAAAAATCCCTGATCTTTCCAAAGCCTAATACACAACTGTTTACATTGGGAGAATTTTACAAGCAAACAAAACCAGCAATCTGCAGAAAGTCTGTCCCTCAACATTTAAAAATAGATCACGACGGCTACAGAAGTACTAATAACTTAATCATTAAACTCCTTCGACACACAGAAAACCCATACGTCAGTTGTTCAAATTCAAAAATCTAAACTCAAATATATAAATCATACCCCTTACATCACATGGGAAGCAAAATCAGATTAACAAGAGGTTAAATGAATAGGTAATAAATTGGACAGATGAAGTACAAATAACGGAAACTGAAATTGTTCACTTTGGCACGAAGAATATAAAAATCAATATTATTTAAATGAAGAACTACTGCAGAATTCCAAAATACAGAGGGTACTCTACTGTACGAGTCACAAAAAGTTAAACATACAGGTACAGCAAGTGATTAAGGCTAACAGGATGCCATCCTTCTGAAATGTAAGGATGTTGTGCTTCAATTATATAGGGCATTGGTGAGACCACATCTTGAATACTGCATGCAACTTCGCTCTCCTTTGAACAAGGATGCAAATATTTTGGAAACAATACAGAGGAAGTTTACTAGATAGATACTTGGAATAAGTAGATTGTCTCATGAGGAAAGGTCGGACAGGCTGGACTTGTTTTCATTGGAGTTTAGAAAGGTGAGAGGGTCACTTGATTGATACCTATAGATCCTAAGTAGTCTTGACATGGACGTGGAAAGGATATTTCCTCTTCTGGATACATCAACTAGGGGTCAGTTTTCAGGATAGAGAGGGAGAAATTTTTGAGGGGCAGCCTTGGAACTCTCCGCCTCAGAAGGCGGTGGAGGGAGGGTCATTAAATATTTTTAAGGCAGAGATAGATAGTTTCCTTTTAGACAAAGATATTAAAGGCATCGGGGCAGATGGGAATGTGGAATTCAGACAAATTAACGATGACCTTACTGAATGACATTGCAAGCTCGGAGGGTCCAATGGCCTATTTCTACTCCCAGTCTTTATTTTTTATGTTTCCTTGAAGAAATGTAGATTATCTCTATGATAGAAGATTGAATGCTAAAGAAAAACTTACGATAGAGAAGACACGTTTTTACAAAAAAAGGTACAAGATTGTAAGGCTTTGAATGAACTAACATATAGTTACATAACTGAGACCACGCTAAATTTTAATAGCTTAGACTAGAGGTTAACTAAGTGGGAAATAAGGAAACAAAATAGGCATGTGGCATTAGGATTACTGCTCACAGAAAAGTTAAACATCAGTGCAGTTCGAAAAAACTGAATAGAGATTTAACTTCAAATAATTCCTGTATTTTAACTACTTAAAGCATTGTTTGATGTCAGAAATTACAAATAACAATACTGAATAAATCCTGTAATAACCTAGTAACACAATTCTGCAAAATACTCAAGTATTTCTTTATAACATTGAATTATAAACACATGAATTATAAAATCATGAAGTATGGAAACATTGCCTGGAAAGTGAATAATCGTAATTTTAATATTAGAACGTGTTCTGTTTTTTTCAATTCAGACAATGGGACATAGACTGAAATTACACCCTTATGTTCCAGAAAGACTGTACAATTCCAAGTAATTTGGTTTACATACATACATTTGGTTTTTAGTAGCTCCCATTATACAGTTTCAATAACGTCTTTTGCCACCTTTGTCAATGTCTCTTAATAATTTATTATTTAGTAGAACTAAACTTGGTAGTTGAGAACTCAAATAATCTTTTTATTATGAGAGATGAAATGAAATGGAAATGCAAGCGATAAGCGTTCAAAATACACAAGGATCACGTCTCAATCGAGGTGCAAGAAGCAGTATATCCCAAGGCTCAGCTGCCGAGTGACTAAGTGCAGTAGTATGTGTAGGGTGAGTGGGCCCGTACGTACGAGGGAGGGGAAAATTATTACATTGATTACAACAAGAGATAATGGTGGCAGCAGGGATGAACAGAGACGCTTCAATGAATCTTCTGCCACCAGGGAACATGGAGAGACATACTGAAACCTATCTCAGTATGCAAAACAAAAACACATTTGCAAAGTAGTTAAAACCAAAGTTTTTATTTAAATGATAATGACCTAGAAATCTCTGTTTAAGAGGGTGATGGTGGAAGCAGAGACAATTATTTTAAAAGGATGTTGGATAGTCATGTAAGGTTTTAAGAAACACGTTTGTAAGGCTACAGGGATAGAACTGCGGAATGGGACTAACAAGATTGCTCAACAAACAGCTAGCACTATGATGAACTAGGTCGGAAATCACATGACACCAGGTTATAGTCCTCCCACCTATGCCTTCCTCCCACCTCAAGCCCCACCCCCATCTCCTACCTACTAGCCTCATCCCGCCCCCTTGACCTGTCAGTCCTCCCTGGAATGACCTATCCCCTCCCTAACTCCCCACCTACAGTCACCTTTACTGGCTCCATCCCTGCCTCTTTGACCTGTCTGTCTCCTCTCCTCGTATCTTCTCCTCTATCCATCTTCTATCCGCCTCCCCCTCTCTCCCTATTTATTTCAGAACCCCCTTCCCCTCCCCCATTTCTGAAGGAGGGTCTATGCCCGAAACGTCAGCTTTCCTGCTCCTCTGATGCTGCTTGGCCTGCTGTGTTCATCCAGCTCTACACCTTGTTATCTCAGGTTATAGTCCAACAGGTTTATTTGAAAACACAAGCTTTCAAAGTCTTGTTCCTCCTTTAGGTGTTAGTGAGAGAATTTATAAGAAAAAGATCAAAGCATCACACCAATGATGAGGACGTACTAAACAAACCCAAGATGCTGTTAAATCTTTAACCAGTTAGAAGGCTTTCATTGATTAATATGTATATGTGAATCCTCAAATTCATTTGAGGTCACAATCCTAAGAGGACTATAGGTTTTATCAGTGTAAAGAGGTGACATTTTAGGTACGGGGTGTGGGAAGGGAGACAGACAGACAGACAGACAGACAGACAGACAGAGTATGAGAGAGGATGTGTATGTATGCACGTGTTTATGTGAATGAGTGTGTGAGAGAGACAGTGTATAGTGTGGTGGGGTCACCTGTAGTGCCACATGAACCTAAGATCCTGGTTGAGGCCATCCTGGCAGGTACCAAACTTGGCCATCACCCACACACACCTCCAAAAACATGAATCTAAGGGGGAGATAGTAGGAACTGCAGATGCTGGAGAATCCGAGACAACAAGGTGCAGGGCTGGATGAACACAGCAGGCCAAGCAGCATCATAG